CGTACCTGCTGGCATTTTAGCCGTCATATCCTCCGGAGTTAACTGGCGTTCTTGAGAGAAGATTTCAACATTAGACATAACTCACTATTTGGTCTGTGTTGGGGGGGGGAGGGGTAAACTATAGTTGCGATGCGTATTTATGGGGATAAATAAATCGTAATAGTTATTTAACATTTTTAATGAACAAAAATTATGAAAATTCTGTTAATTTATTCAGAGGCGTAGCGACCCTTCCCGGCGCCCGGGGACAAACTTTTCGATTTGCACCCCCCTCAAGATTTCGATTTGCCCCCCCCCCCCCCCCCTCAAACTTTCGATTTCAACCCCCCTCTCAACCTTTCAATTTATTTTTCCAACCCATTTTGGCGCCCCCTAAGGTCGGCGCCCGGGGACATATGTCCCCCCCCCCCCTCGCTACGGATTTTATTTATTTTAGAGGTTTGGTCACTTTTTGATTATCGTTATTATGACCAGACGGCGCGATCGAGAGGCATTTTATAACACAATCACTAACAGGAAAGTCTCGCGATTGGCTCTACAATTTGTAGGCTACGGGACCGAGTCCACCCCCAATGAGTTCATGTCTCTAAAAGGGAAAGTTAAGACCGCTGCTGGACCTCGTGCTGACAACAGACCTAGATGAAACAGATGGACTACTTCATCTGTCGTATTGATTACCTGCAGTGTTTCTTTGAGACTTTTTTCTCCGGGGGGGGGGGGGGGAGGGTGGAGGGACACTTGAAATTTTCGCGGGGGCGGACTAAAATTTCCGGAGAGGTGGGTAGATGTTCTCCCCCCCCCTTCCCCGAAGAGATGTCTAAAAGAAAACTCTGTTTGATCTGAAAGGGTGATTTACTTAAGAATCTTTCTGTGTTACTGAAGATCTGTCCTTTCTGGCGACAATGTAGTGGCTGAAGTTGTATTGAGACGACTTGTGACGATACGGGGGTAGGCCAAGATTTCAAAAAGTCAGCTCAATACAGTGACCAATATAAATGACCCATATGGAAGGCATCTGTCTCGCCTTCCTTGAAGTAAGGGTCCGTTTCAGTGTAGCATCTTGATTTGTTTAATAAATTTGTTAACTGGTTACTTGGGGTCAGTGTTTCTTCCAGACTTTTTTCTCCAGGGGGGGGGGGGGGGCACTTGAAATTTTCGGGGGGGGGGGGGGGCTGTAAACTTTCTTCGGGGGGGGGGGACTGTTAAAAGTATATATTTTCTATATAAATTATATAAATTTCATTTCGTTCGGGGGGGGGGGGGGGGGGGTAAAAAAATTTCGGGGGGGGGGGGGGGGCAAAGCCCCGCTGCCCCCCCCCCCCCCCCCGGAGAGATGCCTGCAAGAAACTCTGCCGTTGTGTCACCTGGTGCGGTCCGCCCCCCCCCCCCCCCCCTGGACGGGTTGTCCAGTCTGGCGCAGTTGGTGGACGGGGTTGTATGGTTTGGCTTAGCGGTGGAGGTGGCTGTACTTAAAAAATAAAATAAAAATTTGGTGCATACATCTTATTGTGTTCGGGGAGGGGGGAGATGCTTGAAAGAAACTCTGGGTGAGGGGTGTTTTTTTTTTTTTTTTTTTTTTACATTTTTAACTGTTCTTTAACGGTCGTCCCTTTATGTATTGATATTATACAGTCGATGTAGATATCAGTTAATTTAAATCAATCTGTAAAGCTATGTAAAAGCTGTCGAATTTCTTAACTTCGACGGTAACTAAATTAGTAACGCTTCTCAAAATGGACTTTTAAATTATTATTTTCTACCCTTTTTGGGGTCCCGTAGAGTCGTAACTATCCTATACGTGCTACTCCTCTGCTTGCGGTCGGCGTTTAAGTTTTCTTTTTCTTTTTTGTTTGTTTTTAACAACGCGTTATGTGTTTAGCATCTGTACCTCTAGGTTAGTTAACGAATGCGCATATCTTGTGGGTGGCGTCTGTATTAAACTGTTGGTTAATGAAGGTGCCTATCTAAAACAGGACTGACACATTTTACCGTATAGGCTGCTGGATGTGGATTATACAGATAAAGGATACGTTTTTCCCAGCAACCAGCATAGTGCAAGTCATCACGATATGGAGCTCCAAGCCTCATTTGCTCGGCTGAACGTTATATAGTTCAACAAAAGAAAACAAATGGACACAAAAGAACGTTTTTGCATATTGTTTTAAACAACAGAATCATTAAAAAGCAATTGAAATACTTGACAGGGACATGCTGTTAAAAAAAAGTAGAAAGAAAATAATCTCAACGTCATTTTCACAACACCTACAATGACACAGTAAACTAAATAATAAACCTCCACTCTAACCTCATTTGTGTTTTAGGTATTGCTCACACAAAGTAAAAAAAAAAAAGCATATTTTATTTCATGAGCTCAAGTGTCAATTTTGTTTTTAGCCCTTTACTTTGACGCAAACAAGAACAACAGACAGAGGCGTAGCGACCCTTCCCGGCGCCCGGAGACAAACTTTTCGATTTGCACCCCCCGTCAAGATTTCCATTTGCACTCCCCCCCCCCTCAAACTTTCGATTTGCACCCCCCTCGAGATTTCCATTTGCACCCCCCACCTCAAACTTTCGATTTCCACCCCCCTCTTTTTACTTTCTCGTATATACGTAGTATAGAGAAAGTATTGTAATCGTGCAAAAAAAAAAAATCGAGATTTTTACAAATCTCGACGTTTTACACCTCACTGATACGGAAAAACATAATTTTGCAATCTTGTCCGTATGTCTGTGTGTGTGTGTGTCTGTGTGTCTGTCTGTCCGTGTGTAAACACGATAACTTGAGTACCGTTACAGCTAGGTTGATGAAATTTCATATATAAGTATTTTATCAAAATCGTAGATCCGTATCAACTTTTGAGCGATTTCCGATAACCGGAAGTGGTACTTTTCCTACTTTGAATTTTTCAAAAGCCTATAACTTGAGTACTATTTCAGATTGATAAATGAAATTTCACATGTAAGTAAAAGATCTAATTCTCTACCTTCTGTTAAATTTTGAGTAATTTCCGTTGACTGGAAGTAGTAATTTACGCTACTTCCGATTTCTCAAAAAACTAATGTAAATTTTTAAAGTACTAATAATATTGCGCACTATTATACGCGTTTTTATTCGGCGTTTGCTTGGTGCGCAATGTTTTTTTTATGAGATTCTATTCTATTTTTAAAAGTTTAAGTATTTAAAATGGATTAAAAATCATAACTATATCCCCAGTTACCATCCCCTGTTGTTTTATATAAGAATATTCGAGAAAGTTTAGGGGAGATCACTACCGGTTTATTAGTGCTTTATTTCATAAAAGCTTTGTTATTAAAACGTTTTTTATGAATTTTTTACTTTCTCGTATATACGTAGTATAGAGAAAGTATTGTAATCGTGCAAAAAAAAAAATCGAGATTTTTACAAATCTCGACGTTTTACACCTCACTGATACGGAAAAACATAATTTTGCAATCTTGTCCGTATGTCTGTGTGTGTGTGTGTGTGTGTGTGTCTGTGTGTCTGTGTGTAAACACGATAACTTGAGTACCGTTACAGCTAGGTTGATGAAATTTCATATATAAGTATTATATCAAAATCGTAGATCCGTATCAACTTTTGAGCGATTTCCGATAACCGGAAGTGGTACTTTTTCTACTTTGAATTTTTCAAAAGCCTATAACTTGAGTACTATTTCAGATTGATAAATGAAATTTCACATGTAAGTAAAAGATCTAATTCTCTACCTTCTGTTAAATTTTGAGTAATTTCCGTTGACTGGAAGTAGTAATTTACGCTACTTCCGATTTCTCAAAAACGCATGTAAATTTATAAAGTACTAATAATATTGCGCACTATTATGCACATCTTTATTTAGCGTTCACTTGGTGTGCATTTCTTTTTTCTACGAGATTATATTCTATTTTAAAAAATTTGAGTATTTAAAATGGATTAAAAATCATGTCTAGAAGTCTATATCCCGAGTTGCCATCCCCCGTAGTGTTATATTAGAATATTCGAGAAAGTTTAGGGGAGATCACTCCCGGTTTATTTTTTACATGAACAATCTTCTGCGTTTTTTATCCCTTGTACAGGACTACCATTTTTAACTTCTCATGAGTTTAGCTCCAGCTGCTCCAAATTTGAGCTTTAATTCACACGGAAATATATATAGGCTACCGCCCCAAAAGCATCTATATTTTTATATACATCTTTCCTGCAAGAATAGTTTCGAACTCCTTCGAACCACACTATTTAAAAAAAAATACCCGTTCTTGGCAGAGATTTAAATAAAGATCGATTCTTTCAATGTCTGCTCCAAAGCACGCTTCAAGACACGATTCGAATAGGGGGTTTATTTCTAACTGAATTTTTAAAATGTTGATTACGAATATGCAATGGCGTAGCAACCGCTGTTGAGGGGGGGGGGGTGTCCATCTGGGCGCCACTCAGTGATCGATTGTATATCAGATATGCAATTTTTTTCAGGCATCTCTAGGGATATGGAGCAAGTCTACCGCCTACCCCATCCACCCAAAAGAAATAATTCAAAAATAATAAAAATCTTTTATAGAAAATGTATATTTAACCTGTGCCCCCCCCCCTCCCCACCCGAAAGTTTCAATCACCCTCTCTGAAAGAATTATTGAAAAGAATGCTGAAAGAGCTATATTTAAAATTAAATACACAAAAATAGGGTATATATATATATATATATATATATATATATATATATATATATATATATATATATATATATCTAGTCCTATTTATACAGGCTATTTGTATATATATATATATATATATATATATATATATATATATATATATATATATATCTATATATATATATAATATTCAGTGCAGCTGTCTCGAGATTACACTTTACAGGCCATATCGCTGTAAACGATAGTCAAATTAATTTTGTAGGATCTAGCTAGGCTAAGCTAAAGCCGAAAATTTAAATTGTTACCGCTAGACGGCGCTCTAGGGAATTTAAAAAATTCGGATCATTCTCCGTTTTAAAAAACTTGAAACTTGTAAAGTTACCCAAGTATTGGAATTCATTTTACTCTTGCTGAAAGATTATAATTTATAATTAAAGGATACGTCGGGTAAAAATGATTCCTAACTAAAATTTCAAACGTTACATTCACGTTATTTCATGCCATTAAATTACACATGAGCTAGATATATCATTTGACTTAACACTAACAGTTTTTAATTTTATATATTATATATTATATAAGATTCTAGTTTGTGAAGTTTCAAGTTTAGTTTATTTGTGATGTTTTCTAATCTAAATTTATAAAAATTTCTTGAACTGTCCTTTCTTGAATCTTGATTGAAAAGATTAGGCCTAGACTCTAATTGATTGTAAATATATTTTTTTTTTGTTTTCGAATTTACTGTAACTTAATAACTTAAATTAAACTTGAAACTTCTAGAGATCTTCTGGATCTGGATAGGCTAGACTAAAATTCAAAATTGAGTCATTGACAACATTTGTTAATTGTTTGGCAAATAGTTAATAGAAGGTTAGGTTAGCTCAATTATAATAATTAAGTAATTTATTTTAGTAAAAAATAGGGTAATCCCTTAGTTTAGCGTCGGTTATTATTCCGGAATCGTATAGCAGTAAAAAACAGTAAAAGAATGTCAAAGTCTGTCACACACTTCCGGAATTCACCGGAAGTACTGTAAACCATACTTTATTTGGCGTCTTCTTTTATTTTTATACAGAATGTTTAAAATTTGGATAGATTTATTTTTGTAATCATTTTTACATTTTGTAATCATTTTTACTATTTTCGTAATCTAGATTTTTTTACTTGGCCTAGCAGCTAGATATCTAGCTAGATCTAGATTTAATTAATTAATGGTCGCAAATCCGCTGCAAGCCAAAAACATTAAATTATTACATTTGATACATTATTTATATTAATATACGTTTTTATTTTTAGATCTACTAATTTAAATCTACTATTATATTTATTCTTGTTTCCTTTTGTCGATTAAACTTAAAAAAATAAAACATTAATTTACTACAATCGACTTTCAATTTATTATTTCAATGGTCAAATAAACCATGGTTTACCGTAACTCTAATTACCGAAACTCAACAAACATTACCCGATAATTTCCGACGCTAAACTAAGGGATTACCAAAAATAGATCTAGTTCTCTAGAGGTATACCTTGTAGGGGTCTAATGGGAGAATGTTTACACCGGTGTCCGATAATGGAATCTTTAAAATAGGGGTGTTAGGTTACTAGTAGTTAACTAAATGCACACATGGTTGGCTAATGTCACTGCTAACCTTGTCCCTAACCCTAACCCCAACCCTGGTCCTACCATACGCCTAACCTTAATTTCTAACAATAAAATTAGTCGAGATTACAATACTACTAACAACCCAACACCCCTTTTTTAAAGAAGATTCCATTATCGGACACCGGTATCTCTAATCATCCTCTAATTTTTTTAGCCTACAGGCTGAGGCCTACAGTACAGTAATAATAATAATAATTAGTTAAGGCCTAATTTTGTAACCGTGTTAAGCTAACCCAAACTAGTTCTTAACTTGAAACTAAGTCAATATTACAACAAATTAGGGCGGTGTAATAATCGTAATGGGTAAGAAGATACATTATTAAGGAAGGGGTAGTAAATTAATAACATTTTGATTCTCTACTCAACATTGGTATTTTACTTTATAGTTATACTATATATAGGCGTATCAGAATGACATAATCCAGGATAATAATAGGCCTCTACTTTTTTATTATCCTGTCCCTTATTGCTTGACCCCCAATCTAATCCCGACTATATTCCTGATCCTTGCCCAGATTCCAGTCAAAGCATCCAAGAAAAAATTGCATAAAACTATACCATTTTGTCCTGTTTAACAGTTAGGCCCTATTGTTTATAATAATTTTTATAGCTTAGGCTTAGGGTAAAAGAAATTTTCAAATTAAAATGACATCTAGGCCTATACAAATAACTTACCCAAATCTTCTTTCTAGTTTTAGTCATCACCCTACTCCTAGCCTCAACCTTCTAGCCCCTATATAATATAATTAGTCAATCCCCATGTCTCTAATTAAATATAAACAACCCTAAAAAGCTCACTAAATAAAAATTCATTGTGGTATAGGCCTACTTATTGTAAATGTAGCTTGGTTATTCGTCTTGTAGTCTTGTAGTGAAATCTTATAACCATAAGACTGCTCATTAAGTATTAACCAGTTTTATGTTGAAATGTGTTATTTCTGATTAACTATAGGCCTACAGTGATATGATTTTTTATAATTTAAATAATGTCTAACCTATGCTTTTTTTTCTGTAAAACAGCATAAATTTGTGCTGAATAATAATTTATTTTTTTAAAACAACTTATTCCAAAAAGGACAATATTTTTATTAACACATCAGTAGGCCTATTTTAGTTGAGAAAAGCTTCATCTGATTTCAAAACTAAAATATTGCCAAACCCAAAATCCATATAACTGTGACAAGAGACAAAAATGTACTATAGGTTTATTATTGTGATGCAGTAGCTTCAATGGTAGTTTATTTATTGTTGATTTTTTTAAAACACCAAAATTGTTTTTCAGGTACTTTCAGTATTTTTTTTATTGTTAATGAACAATATCTGAATTTGATAATCCAAAATGGGAGATGATTCAGAATGGCTGAAACTGCCTACAGAAGAGAAATGTCAACACAAGGTAGCCCTCTTATTATGTAAACTATTTGGCAAAACATACGTTTTAATAATTTTTAAAAGTTGTATAAGTTAGTTGAAAGAAAATGATTTACAAAATTAAAAAAATAAGTAGTTAATATGTAAGTTAATTTAAAGTTTGGAGTTGTAAATTATTATAATAATAATTACAATTGAAAATAAAGTATAAACTGAACATGAATGGAACTATGTCCACAGGTCTGGAAAGCCAGGGTTGCGGGTTATGAAGAGGCAGTTAAATTATTCAATGGTTTAGATGAAAAGAGCCAAGAGTTCTCACGTTATGCTGGTTTGCTGAAAAAGTTTGTCACAGATACAAATGCAGTGGCACAAGAGAAGGGGTTGGAGGCTGTGTATGCCTTTGTTGAGAATGCTCCTACTAATGTGTGTGGAAGGTGAGCCTAAGTAACTTAGAAAATTGTCCTTGATATTATTTAAAAATATACACTTTAAAATATACACCTTTTTGTTTGTAATAAAAATGTTGTTAATGATTTTTAGTACATTTTTTTAAAAACAGAACATGCAGTGATGTTGTGAGTGGGATTGTTACCAAGTGTCTAAATGCTAGCAAACAAAAAACTAAAGACAGAGGTATAGAAATAATCATGTTATATATTGAAGCAGAAAAACCAGATGTGGTTCAGGTAAATACAAAAGAAAGATGTCTTATAATTTATTAGTTACTCCAAGGAAGACCACTTTAAATTAAAAATGATAACCATTTAAGACAATAGCCTGATTTGAGTTCTTACTTATTATTGCTCTTTTTTATAGCAAAATTTATAAGCAACTGATATGTTTGAATATTTTAACATTTCAATAATGATTTATCGTATTTCTATATGAACTAAGTAAAACTTATTTACCACATCATATTAGGAATGCTTAATGGCTGGGATGGAAAATAAGCAACCAAAGATAGTGGTTGGTTGTGTACAGGCAGTTACCTGTGCCCTTAGGTTTGTAGCTGAACTTATTGTCACTTACATTTAGATGTTAAACTAAATTTGAGACATTCGGGTTTGCAGCCTAGCACTCTACTGATTAGGCCATGCCATCCCGTTAAACTCAATACTCACTGAAACATTTTTTTTTCTTTTGCTATTTTTTTTTGGATCACTAAATACACTGCTTTTAAAATGAGTTAAAAAAATCTTTTCTTCATTAGTTTTATTATACTTTGAAAATTCATACTTTGAAAAATTCTGTCTTCATTGAAAAAAATGTATTGGTTAAAAATTTTCATTAAAAATCTTAGGGACTTTGGTACAAAAGTGATCCAGGTAAAGCCTTTGCTGAAGGTACTTCCTAAATTGCTTGAGGACAGAGACAAGGGTGTACGAGAGGAAACTAAACAGTTGGTCATTGAACTGTATAGATGGATTGGAGCAGCTCTTAAACCCCAGTTGACTCATTTCAAGCCTATTCAGGTATTATAAATGTTAATTTTTTTTGTTGTTGAGCCATTCAAGGCATTAAATAGTTCATGAAAGCTCTTAAAAATTGTGGGATGGGAAAAAGGGGATCATAACTGTGGCATTGGTTCTGCAAAAAATGTATTGCCATTGCTTAGGTCCTAATCCAAACATCTCCAAAATCTATTTTATTTATTTATTTTATGCCGGGTTTGGCCTGCCCAGTTTTATTTTGGGAGTTTCAGTTTAAATGTTGGTATCTTTAAAGCCACTTGTTTACCCATATGGAGCATCTATTTTTATAAAGCTTTTTTTTCACCCCATGTTCCAAATCAATATTTTTAAAAGTAATGAAGTTAACACGTATTTTTTTTACTAGGTACAAGAATTAGAGGCAGAGTTTGATAAACTTCCTCCAGGGAAAGCCCAACAGTCTCGATTCATGAGGTCACAGCAGGATCTGAAAGCCAAAATGGAAGAACAAGCAGTGGCTGCAGCAGACGGGGGTGGGGATGATGTCACTGATGGAGCAGAAGAAGAAGAGGCCATTGACCCTTATGAATTAATGACACCTGTAGATATCCTGGCTCAGTTGCCGAAGAATTTTTTCGAACAAGTTGTAAGTTGTATCTACTGTTTCATTTAACAATAATAGTAAGAGCAATTGACAGTTTTTGTAGTGTTAGTTTACATAGAATAATTTTCATGTTGTCAGATATAGTTGCTTAAAACTTGTGGCATGTGATCAGTTTTATATTGTTCTCTAGGAAGCTAAAAAGTGGCAGGAAAGGAAAGAAGTCTTAGAGCAGGTTCAAAAATTGGCTGAAAATCCTAGGCTAGAAAATGGGGACTATAGCAACTTAGTTCGTGCACTCTTAAAGGTAAAATTTTTTTTGTAATTTTCAATTTAAAAATTATGTTAAAGAAATAGATAATTTTTAAGATAATATTTACCACCCCCACTACTAATTGGCCCACATCTCATCGCAAAACATATGAACCCTCTCCAATTTTAATAGTTTTAGATTACAAAACTCTTTAAAAAGCATAAGTTTAGTTTTAAATTTGTTTTACATTTACAAGTGTGCCACCACTTTCTGAACTCCTTCCCTTGTAAAACATAGCCACAAAAGTAAGACCCCCTAGGATTTTGACTGATGAAACCACCTAACACCAAACTTCATTATTAGAAATGCTAATACATGATAGATGAAATAAAACTTAACGCATTTTGTATTTGGTTAAAAATTGTCCTTTATTATTTATCCCTTTTAAAGCTGTATAAAACAGTTGTTTTAAAAATTTTTTTTTAGGTGGTAGCCAAGGACACTAATGTCATGCTAGTAACAATTGCAGCTAAAATTTTAGCTTGCCTGGCAGTTGGACTGCGTAAAAAATTTCAGCCATATGCTACTCAGGTAAAGTTATAATTGTTACTGCACTTAACATATAATTAAATATCGTGAAATATGAAAATAATTTGTTGAATTTGCACAAAAAAAAATAATTGTAACAATCAGTTAAGGTGTTGTAGTTTAACCAGTATGCTAAAAAGTCAACAAAATCAACTTTTTGGTTTACATTTAAAAATCTTTATGTTATCTCTTCTACTAGTGTGTGTCCACGGTGCTTGAAAAGTTCAAAGAAAAAAAAAGTAATGTAGTTGCAGCTTTGAGAGAAGCTATTGATGCTTGTTATCAATCAGTAAGATTTTTTTTTTAATAATTTATTTTGATCCTGCTATTGTAGCTAATTTTAATCTTAAATAGAGAGTTTATTTTTTTTCTTTAAAAAATACATTATAACAAAAATTTTGTAAAAACTCAATAGATCAGTTTTAAATTCTTATAGATTGTTTAAATTAATGCTATTGAAATACTTACTTACCAATTGTGTTATTATATAATAATTTAAAGAAATAAAATAATTCTTTTAGATCACTTTGGAAGCTATAATGGAAGATGTAGTTGCAGCTTTAGATAACAAAAATCCCAGCATCAAGATGGAAACTGCTCTCTTTCTTGCTCGTTGTTTTGCCAGATGTTCTCAGTCTACTCTACCAAAGAAAATGCTAAAAGGATATGTTACCCCCCTTCTTAAGGTAGTAGTCTAAAAAATTCTTAAGCATTTTTTTCTCTAGGAGGTTAGCATCTTTATTAGGAAGCTCTGATTGTTTAAGATAAGTGATTTAGTTTAGCTTTATCAGTCATCCTGTTGATTGTAGTGTTTAATTAATAATAATTAATAATTAATTAATAAATACTTGTTGTTAAACTTGATATCTAGACAGTGAATGAATCTGATCCTAATGTAAGAGAAGCTGGGTTTGAAGCTCTTGGTGTTGCCATGAAAGTTGTGACAGAGAAGAACATTACACCTTTCCTTACAGATGTTGACAGTATCAAGATGCAAAAGGTGGATTTTTCTTTACATAATTTGATAGCTCATGCAGGTTATTAAGTCTAGACATTAAAATTTAACTTTCAACCCAATCGGCTGTTTGTAGCTTAGAATTCTTTCTTTCAATTTCTGTTTTATTTAATGATTATGTGTTTAAAATTTTAGAACATGTAGTAATGTGAATTGTATTCTAATATTTCAATATGAATTTCAAGATAAGTTTAATACATAAAAAATGTTAATTTAGGAGTATTCTCTATTGTCCCAACAATGTATTGAAGAAACTTAGATTACTATTAAAATTTATGTCACTATTCATTAAAATATTATAGGCCTAAACACTTGCATTAATTAATAATTATATTAAATTAAATATAAGTTTACTGTAATAAACAATTGTGATTTTTAAAAAAATGCACTTGCGATTGTTCAGAAACTATCTTAAACCAAAACATCACTCGTCAATATTATATTGTTAGAAAATCTAGTTGTTCAGGAACTCAGCATACGATGACTACCGTTATCACCTTTTCATCACCTATACATAACAGCCACCTATCTTTTACCCAGATTCAAGAATCTTGCCAAAAAGCTGTGCTGCTGAATGCTAAGGGTGAGCCACGAGGTGACAGTAAATCCATAGTCCCGCCTGATACTGGGGCCAATAAAAGGCCAATTTCTGCTCCTTCTGCCAGACCAGGGATAGAAGAACCTAAACCTGTCAAACGCCCAACAACAGCGGCTCCTAAAGCTGGCGGGGTATGTGGTTTTTTTTTTTGTTTTTACTATTTTTATGGTGTGGAGATTGTTTGGTTAGTGTGGTTATTGATGTTATTATTTCTTTCTTCAGCTGAGGTATGTTGTTTTTTTTTTACTGTTTTTATGGTGTGGAGATTGTTTTTTTAGTGTGGTTATTAATGTCATTATTTCTTTCTTCAGCCACCAAAGCCTGCAGCTGGTGGAGCCAAACCTAAACCTAAGGTAATGCACACATTTTTAGAGAAGAAATTAACATTGGGGATAAATGAAATGCAAAAATTATATTTTAAATTATATTCTTATGTATAAAACATGTTATATGATTTTTTGCTTTTCTACATTTTTAGCCACAGGGTAAAGGTCCGGTAAAGAAAGGTGGTAAGCCAGTTGAGGAGAAATTAGAACCTGCTTTAAGTGTAAGTAATTACATTTATTTGATTGAAATTATCATGGGGAAATATTAAGATTTCATTAATAAAAAAACAGGAAAAACTGTTTAATTTCTTATAAGTAATTCTTATTTTAATGTTAGTTTTGCTAACAAATTTTAAAAACATTAATTCTGAGAAAGAAAAAAAAAAATTATGTGATAAATATCTATCTGATAAATATTGTTATACTGGTGACTCAATATTGTGTGTTTATTTTGTAAATGTTAATCTTAATTTTTTTTTTACCGTAACTGCATCTATTACATGTCATTATCATTAGCTTAAGTGGCAAAGAGTATTCTGTTTTTAACTCTTGAAAATACTTAAGTCATAAGGGTTATATATAAGATACCTTAATGATCATATAATTAAAAGAAAATTACTTCCTTTTTGTCCAGCGTAAAAGAAAACCAATTTGGGATCGTGGAGGCAATGTACATGTTAAAATGAACATGCTGTTTTTATTCTTAAAAATTATCTTCTGTTAAAAGTTTATAGACTTAATTTAATTTAAAAAAAAAACAACAACCTAATGCAGCATTTAGTTATTTTGCTTTTAATTTTTAGTTTTAAAGATTATCTTCTGTTGAAAAAGTTATCGAATTGAATAAAAAAAACAACACATTTTTGTATTTAATTTTGATACATCCTCAAGTTATTTTATTTTGAGATTTTCAATATTGAAAGTCAACCATCAGGGTTGCTAATTACAGAAAAAAAAGCTTGTAACTTTATTTAATCTTATTTTATCTTGGTTAAATGAAGAATACTTTGTATTTATTTGAAGCAGATGTGCATGATTTGAAATTTTAAGTGTAATACTCAAAACAGCTTTATTTCTAATATTGTTAATATTATTGGTACAAAAAATACTTGGTGTTGACAGATTTTTAAAACTATTTAACTAGTTAAAAATTAGTCACATCCTTTATTTTAGGATGAAGCTGTTGAGGAAAAGGCACAGGTGTTCCTGCCTGGTGATACACTTACAAATCTAGCCAGTACAAATTGGAAGGAAAGGCTTGCAGCCATGGAAAGCTTCGTTAAGGTAAAAAAAAAAATTACCCACTGAGAATTGTCTGTTACGTGTTTAATGTAACTTTTAAAATTTATTCGCAATTAAACTTTTTTATGGATGCATTTTTAAAAAAAGCCATACATTCAGTGGTTTGCGTAAAACAATTACAATGTACAGAATAATCACAATACACATTTTTGTTGCCCGAATTAAATGTCATCCTCAAAATATGCATAATATTCCCATATGCGCATAATGTCATAATTTGTTTATAAAGGTTTCTCCCTACATTGCCGTGTATTATGTTATACTCAAGCATAAATCAGACTTGACTGTTTCCCTTCTAGGTGGTAAGCAGCACAGGTAAAGATGAGATTCCTTGTCAGGTGTGCATCAGAGTACTCAACAATAAACCTGGACTCAAGGAAACAAACTTCCAGGTACTACTCTAGCACTAGTTGCCTACAAAACAAACTTTCATTCATAATTCTTTTTTTTTCTGTTAGTTCTTGAAACTAATATCTAACCAGATAGCTTACTTTAAAAAAAAATTGTTTATATCTGTTTAGGTCTTGAAACTGAAGCTGGAGCTAATAGCCCACTTGTCACGCAATGCCAAATTTTCTAAGAGATGTGCTGAGTTTGTCCTGACTGATATTGTTGATAAATTGGGAGATGCCAAAAATGGTGCAGTGGCCAAAGACTGTTTGACTGGGATGGCCGAGGCTTTGGGTTTGGATTATGTTAGTTTAGAGGTAAGCAGCAGATTATATACAAAACATTTTTTTTATTCCTTTTTATATTTTTATTTGGTGTTGTAACTGTATGGTCAATGGGGCATGGCCTGCTGATTAATAATACAAGCAATAAATAAGTAATTTTTCTATGAAAATAAAAGTTCAAAAAGCTAATAAAATAATGTAAAATATTATCATGAATTTAAATTGCAACACAAACATAGCACCATTTTGTGTGAACAGGTAATGACAAGAGCATTTGAACAGAAGAATCCCAAAAACCAGCAAGAAACATTAACTTGGCTCACAACAGCTGTACAAGAATTTGGACTTAAGTAAGATTGTTTTTTAGAAGTTTTGGTTTTGGCTCTTTAATTATTTCATTTCTTTTAATTAAAAATAAAAAATAAGCCTTTCTGTTATTTTATATGATTAAATATTTAAGAAATTTTAAAATCTGTCAGGTTAAATGTCAAAGCTTTACTGGCAACTATCAACAAAGCTTTAGCTGCCACTAATCCTGTAAGTAGACAGTTTTCTTCTAATCCAATTTGGTATACACAAGATTTATGTTTTCAAGTACTACAAGAATTTTATTTATTGTGTAGGTTTTCTCCATGCTGTTTTTTTCCTTCCTCTCATCTTTTCTGCACACTATATTTTGCTCAAGTTTTTTTGTACACATTTTTTTAATGCACAGGGAGTGAGGATGGCAGGCATTTCACTGCTTGGTGTAATCTACACATACATGGGTGACACTTTGCGAGTTTTCTTTGAGAATGAAAAGCCAGCATTACTTCAACAGATTGATGCTGAATTCGCAAAGGTGACGCAGCTTTAATATTTTTGCCATAATTTTGCACTGGACCAAAGTACCCATTATACCACATGCACTTTGTTTAATGTTTAGACAAGTTTTTGCAATTTGCTGTTCTTTGTTCTTTTCAATAGGTATATAAAGAGTTGAAAACTCAGATCTTTTACTTGTTTTTATTATGTTGAATGTTGTTTTTAAATATTAAAATGAATACAAATTTGTCTCTATAAATAGGTGTTTTTAGAAATGCTTTATAAAATGGCTCTTTACTTAAAAAAGGATCTTTATCTATAAATGCATTGTTTGCTGGTTGCTTTTCCTCATTGTGAATTTTAGTAATTTTATTGGCCATTGAATTTCTTGTAACAGATGAAAGATGTGAAGCCTCCTATGCCAAGTAGGAAAGTAATATCTGCTGATGGTGGGGATGGTGATGATGGTGAGGATGAGGACAATGTTGATGGTGATGGGGAAGAGGATGGAGAAAATGCCATGCAAGATTTGTTGCCTAGAGTTGACATTAGGTGAGGAACAAAAACAATAGTTACAGACATAATAATAATCAGTCACATTCTATTATATTTTAATTATCTAGATTGAAAAAAAATATAGTTTAGTTTTGTTGTGATTTTTTGCATTTCCCTAAACTTTCTTTTAAAACCTACTTAACCAGTGAGAAAATAACAGAAGATCTTTTGACTGAACTGACGGACAAAAACTGGAAGGCCAGAGGAGAAGCGCTACAGAAAGTGACCAACATTCTTTCTGAGGCCAAGTTTGTGACGCCCAATCTTGGACCTCTGCCTGAAGCTTTGAAAGCTCGACTTGGAGAGTCCAACAAAAATTTAGTAAGTTTGAGCCTGGTCAAATGTGTACAAATTTTCTTAATTGTGGACCTTTTAGAAACCTCAGGACACTATCCTGCCTCTCAAGATCAATACTCTCAGCTGTCATTCTTTTGTCTTTTGCTCCATTTGTTCATACTAGGTAGCTTTAATTAAAATGATTTCACTGCATTTTGTTTGTATTGTAGCAAATGATTACAATTGGAATATGTTCGACCCTTGGTACAGCGTTGGGGCCACACAGTAAAGGACCTTTCAAAATTATCGGTCCAGGTCTCATTATGTGTTTAGCTGATTCTAAGGTTGGTTGAAGTCAGAACTAATATAATCTGTGATAATCTAGTATGGATTCATTTAAATTTAAAAACCCACATAAATTGGTTGATTAGAAAATTATTCTAAATTAAACGTTACAAATTTAAAGATAAAAATGGAAAAAGAAATCTTTTTTTTTTTCTAAATTTCTTAGTAATTTTGGCTGAAATGCCATTCTTTTTATTTTTGTAACTCATCTTTTTTACAGCCAGCGTTACGTGAAAAAGTGATTGCTTGTTTAAATGTTTGGATTGAACATTCCACCCTCTTACCATTGGTTGAAACAGAGGCTTTGATTGATGCCCTCAAGACGGAGAACCCTTTCTTAAGGGCAGAGGTCAGTAGAAAATATTTAGCTAAAAGTCTTCAGAGGACCTGGTGAAAAAATTTAGTTAGAAGTCTTAAAGATAATGGTCTGCAATAAAAAAATAGAAACAAATTCACTAGCATAAATAACTCTTTAAAAGGACTGAAGACATGCTCTGCCTAGTAAGAAATTAAAGTACAAAAGCCCTAACATCTTCCTAGCAATATTTTTTTAAAGTTGAAAAACAAATAGCCATACACTGCTAAAGCTAAATGGTAATTTAATAATATAGAGATGAGTTAGTTAAGATTAATACTAGTTGAACTATTATTTTATTAAAAACTCTGTTTGGCTTATGGATTTTTAAAGATGTATTATTTAGCTGCAAATAATGCTTTTCATGAGTTAACCTGTTGTCCAAATTTTGTTTTAGATTTGTGAAATAAAAAAAACTTTATCCCTTTAGCTCCTAGGCTGGCTCTCAGAGAAGTTACCAAACCACAAGCAGCTACCAGTAGAACTAAGGGGAGTTATCCCTAATGTGTTGACTTGCCTTGAGGACAGGAACGCTGATGTTCGTAAACGTGCCGGGGAGTCCCTAGTGCCTCTCATGATCCACACTGGATACGATGCTTTCCTTAAAGCTCTGGGCAAGTGTAAGGTATGTAGTGGGCTGTGAATCCCTTGTGCTTCTTAAGATTGATACAAATTTTTTAAAGCTTTGGGTTAAAAAGTGTAGAAAACTGACCCACAGGACAATAGAGGACCATTGTTCAAATATGTATTATACATCTCAAGGTTTAACTTTGTCTTGGAAGTAAGCAATGGTTGAATTAAATGAAGAACAAATTTGAAGTCAAATTTTTGTATTCATGTGTAACTTGAGCAAACTTTGTTAATGGAGCGTTGATTGTAAGATCTGGTTCATGTAATCATGTAACTCTGTAACTAGTTAAACTATTTTTGGATGTCCAGTTTGATAAGACTGATATGTTTAGATACTAACCCTCTATCAGATAGTTTATGTTCATGACCTTGACCTCAAACCCAGCTAAATGTACATAAATTGTAAAATAATTGCTACTAATTGTAAGATATGTGTTAATATAAGAACAGTATGACAATCTCACTACCACAGACAGTAAATTCTCTTTACTTTTTAGCGAATACTGTAGAAGCATTAAATGTTTAATTAGCAACCTTGTTTAAATTTGAATTAAATTAAGTCTATTTGATTGTATTTTTACTTCAGCCAGCCACCAAAGACCAAATCCAGCCATTGTTAGAAAAAGCTCGAGGTGAACTCCCTGCCAAGCCAGTGAAAGCTGTGAAGAAGGCTCCTGCAGCACCCTCAGCTCCTGTCAGCCAGAAGAGCTCTGCTAAGACAATCTCCTCCACTAGCTCATCCTCTAAGATAGATGAGCTGGATATGGATGATGAAACTGTGGTGGAGAAATCCTCAGCTGTTAAGACAGACAGCAAATCTAAAGTTGTTAAAGGAAAAGGGAAGGTAGGATGTTGTATTAGACCTTTATCATAATTTGTGATGGCTCTTGTACATGTTGTTAAGGAAACTCAGTATCCAATCATTGATTTTATTTTTATTTTCTGCAAGCGCCACTAGGATCTAGATCTAGGATTAAACTCAATTCTAGTATTAGGGCTTTAGTTTTAGAGAAGCAAAGCTAGCTAAAAAAAGTAGCTATGATTTTAACAGTGTACTTCAGATTTACATTTAGTACAAGTAGCCTTATTATAATTGATTCCAGGCTGCACCTCCACCAAGCACTAAAAAGAAAGAGGAGGAAGATTTTGGTCCACCTATGACTATGACTGTAACTAAAGACCAAAGAGTTAAAGAGGAAAAAGCCATGAAGGTATGGACAAGCAGTTTGAATATATTTCATTTAAAATAAAAAAAAGCCTTTTTATAAAAAAAAATTGAATTACATTTAAAATATTTTATAAACAATTTACTTTAAGTTCTCTTCTTGTCTTGTGTTCGTTTTGTCACTTTAAAAATTTGAAAGTGAAATAATTAAATTGAGGGATCGAATAGTTAAGAGCATCTCATTTTGATAAAATATAGGTCCTGAAGTGGAACTTTATAGAGCTACGTGGTGAATTTGTGGAGCAGTTGAAAACTCAGATGGAAAAGAATTTCAATCGCTCTATCATGGCTGACCTATTTCATTCTGACTTCAAAAACCACATCAAGGCTATTGAACAGCTAATTAAGGTAAACACTAATATTGGTACTTTTTGTTTTCTCTTGTGGTCTATAACTTAATGTAGTTCTATTAAATTAGCTGAATTAAACAAATAGTATGAGCTTTTGTGTTTTTTATTGCGCTCTATTGTTGGTAGTAAATAATGTGAGTACTTATTGATTTCACAATTTAAATTTAACTTACATCATATCAACTTCACTTGCCCCATAGACCGTCAGGTTTGAAAGGGAACTTTACTTACGATACCAACTGAAGAAACTACGAGTGTTTTTTTGTGTTTTTTACCGTAGTACATTACTTGAAAGTATATGTTTATTTTCTCCAGTGTATTGAGACCCAGGAGAGAGAGACATTGAACAACTTGGACCTCCTGCTCAAGTGGCTGACCATTAGATTCTTTGATACCAACCCAAGTATGTTAAACAAAGCTCTGGATTACATTCAGCAGCTCTTCTCAATGTTGACTTCATTAGACTACCACCTCACTGATTTGGAAGCTTCCTCATTTATTCCATATCTTTTACTTAAGGTGAGTAAGGAATAATGGTTGTTATTTCGAAGGCTTCTCAGTTTACAATGAAATCCACACATCAATTATCAAAATAAAATTTTAAAGATTATTTCACAATAAGATATGGATAGCAGAATGATTATTTCACATTTTTCATCACTTATTAAAAATTGAAATATTTTATGATGAAATATATTTGTTATTCCGTTTTAATAAGAAAAATGATTACTAAAAACATCATAATATCACAATAATAGAATAGATCTGTTATAAAATATTGATTAAATAGGTGTATGGATCTAAATTTTTTTAGAGTGGTGATCCTAAGGACAATGTCAGAAGGGATGTACGCACCATATTGAAGCAAATGTGCAAGATTTACCCGTCAAGCAAGATGTTTAGTTTCATTATAGATGGTCTGAAATGTAAAGTGGCTAAACAAAGATCAGGTACACACATTTTAGTTATCTTCACTGGATATTCCAAAATAACGTATTTTAAAAAGTAGGTTAAAAAAGTTACTATCACTCTTTTAAAGTAGTTTTATAACCACAAAATTACTAAATTGAAATGTTCCCTGTTATCAGATAAAAAAAACAGCACATTATGACTCGAGTGCTAAAATAGTTAATTAAGGGTGTATACATTCTTCATGAATTGTTTTTTAATAATCTCCAGAACTGCTGGAAGAACTGGGTGGATTGATAGAGAACTATGGCATGAATGTGTGCCAGCCCTCACCAGCACATGCTCTGAAGATTATAGCTGGCCAGATAGGCGACAGAGACAACGGTGTGAGGAATGCTGCACTCAACACCATTGTGGTAGCCTACACCATTCTAGGGGAGAGTGTGTACAAATATGTTGGCAATGTGAGTCAATAGCACATTTTAAATTTACTGCAGCCGCTGCTCTACACATCACTATCAAGAGCAGAATCTCCATCGAATTCCCCCCACCCCCCATCCCCTTCTTATTATTTAGAGAAATTTCTAGCTGGCACACATCATCAAAGAATACATAAAAAAGTAAAAATAATTGAGTTAAATTTGAGCAAATGAAGTACTGCCATGTTTCAGTGATCTCAGAATATTAAGGGATTGCATACTCAGCAAAAATCTGTTTAGATAAACATATGGCTACTAGAGAAAACCAAGCTGTTTTTTTTTTCAAATTTTTTAATAATATAAAAAAAACCAGAAAAGACATGCAAGACCCACAATCTAATTTATTTATATTACCACTAATACTTTAATAACCGTGCACTTGATTGTAAAAATATTTAATGGGCCTTTGAGAGTCCAATGTTCTAGATACCATTGCATGATTGCTACTCTTCCACACCATCCCCCATATAATCTGATTTTACTGAAATATAATTTATTTTTTCCCAGCTGAATGACAAGGACCAAAGCTTACTAGATGAGAGGATCAAACGGGCCATGAAGAACAAAGACAGCAAGCCTGTGAAGGAACCTCTCCAGCCACAGCCACAACAGCAGCAACAGCAACAAGCACAGCGGCCAAAGACAGCGCCTTCTGGAAACTTGGCTAAAGCTGCTTCACAGTAGGTTTTTGTTTGACTAAAGCTGTGTCTCGTATGTTTGAATCTACCTGCTCCGTTCTTAATTGTAATGTTGAAGTATTACTTGTCAACATGTTATGTGCTCTATGGCCTGTTGTCTCCCAACTAGAGCCTCCTTTTCTTTCTGGATTTGCTGCTTGCATATCCTTTCTCCACCCAAGAACAATCATTTTAATCCAACAAAACCATTGCTGCTTAACATGTATGAATAACTATAAAAAATCTTATTTCATAAAATATCACTATCTAATAATGAATACACAATTATCTTTATAACATTTCTAGACCTAACATAAATAGAATGGAGCCAATCAAGAGAACTTACCAACTGGACATTGAGCCTGAGGACAACTGGGAGCCTGTGGTCCCAAGTCTGATAGAACTTGACCTGGAGGCTGTAATGGCGCCAGTCACTAAGCCAAAGTTTATGTAAGTTTTGACATGTATAAAAACTAATGCTTGGTAAATTTGTTTCATGGACCTATCGCTAAGAAATGGGAGAAATTTGTATTTGTTAAAAATTGTTAACTGTGTCATGAGTGCTGATTACAAAACCAAAGTTAATTTATAGCTGCACATTGGTGCTTGGTAAAATGTTTCAAGATTTTTTTCACTAAGCCATGTTGTTGAAGAAATTTGTATTTAAAGGTTGTTAACTGTGTGTCATAGGAGCCGATAACACAAACCAATTTTGTGTAGGTGGAGACTTCAAGCTGCTAAATAAAGCTTGTTAGAATTGTATTTGTATAGTAGACTAATATATTTATATACATATAATATTTAAAAGATACAAGTTTAAATAAGTAAATATTTAACCTATGGTTATGCTACTTTTATCCAGGGCCAGGCCAGCATCCCCTGGTTTACCATCCAAACTGATAGGATCAGCTGATGTGTCTGCTAGCATTGGCAGTGTGGTGTCCCTGATCTCTGATGTAGAAATCAGCACCAGTATTAAAGCCTTAGCCCAGGTACTGTCACCCTCTGTCAAAGAAAATTATAAACTAGAAAATTTTACCTACAACACTGATAACCTGTGATTTTGTTAACTTTTTTTGCTTGTTAATAAATAGTGTAAATAATCAACTACTATTAGCCAGCTGTTTATAAGGATGAAATGAGATTTGCCTCTGTTAAGTTTTGGTCTTCAAGCTAAACATAATTTTATACAACCAGGTTGTATATATAATATAGAACACAATTTTCAAATGTGTATATTTTTAATAACAAATTTTAACAGTTAATTTTTACTTTCTCGTATATACGAAGTATAGAGAAAGTCTTGTAATCGTGCCAAAAAAAAAATCGCGATTTTTTTACAAATCTCGACATTTTACACCTCACTGATAAGGAAAAACATAATTTTGCAATCTTGTCCGTATGTTTGTGTGTCTGTCTGTCTGTCTGTCTGTTTGTAAACACGATAACTTGAGTACCGTTACAGCTAGGTTGATGAAATTTCATATATAAGTATTTTATCAAAATCGTAGATCCGTATCAACTTTTGAGCGATTTCCAAAAACCGGAAGTGATACTTTTCCTACTTTGAATTTTTCAAAAGCCTATAACTTGAGTACCATTTCAGATAGATAAATGAAATTTTAAATGTAAGTAAAAGATCTAATTCTCTACCTTCTGTCAAATTTTGAGTAATTTCCGTTGACCGGAAGTACTAATTTACGCTATTTCCGATTTCTCAAAAAACGTATGTAAATTTATAAAGTACTAATAATATTGCGCACTATTACGCACATTTTGTTTTGGCGTTCGCTTGGTGCGCAATTCTTTTTTCTATGAGATTCTATTCTATTTTTAAAAGTTTAACTAATTAAAAATGATGTCTACATTCCAAGTTATATAAGAATATTTGAGAAAGTTTAGGGGAGATCACTCCCGGTTTATTTTATGGTTGTAATTGATAAGATTATGCAATAATTATTTATGTAGATTGGGTTGTTAAAATTGGACAGTAAATTCTTTTATTTTGCACTAATGCAGTGTTTTTCAATTTATCTGAACAGAATATGCCAATAAAATTTGTTTTTTTCAAGCCAAAATCTCACCTATACAGTTGATATTCTAGATCTCCCAATGTTTGTTTTCAGATAGATGAGGTGTTGAAGGATGAAAGGAAAGCTGCTGTGATGGCCAACCACATTGACAACCTGCTTGTTGTGATCACCATGCAGTGCAAGATGGGGTTGGGGAAACACCTGCTGGACTCACAGGTGGACAACAAGGAGGTCATCCGGCTCTACAGATGTCTGCTCAGTACATTGTTGAGTGTAGGTCATTTGTTTTTCTCAAGGTTTACTTTTGACGGATTTACCCTGTCAGACCTGTGAAGATGAAATATGAGTTTATCAGTTGTTTTTTTAACCCTGTATATGAGAAGATTTTTAAAAAAAAAACAATCTTGGGATACAAAGCGTTTTTTGTTTAGTCACGTCTATGAATGGTTTTTTTTTTTTACAAATCTTGGCATATGATGGGATTTTTTAAAGACCTTGCTTGGTAAAAGGGAGGATTTATAAAAAAATCTCATAAGAATATAATTTTTTATTTTATTTTGGCGTATGATAGGATTTTTTTAAAATCCTGGGATATAAACAGATTTTGAGGTTACTATTATGGCCAACTGATTTTTTAAATTATTCCATAAGACAAATCTAGAAAGATTCACAATTCTTTTTATCAAAAAAATTATTTTTGTACCATGAAAAAATCCCTTGTATTTTGTTAGATATTTGACAAGACATCAATGGGTAAAAAAGCCTCAACACATATCTTAAAAGATTTGATGCACAGCTTACTGACAGTTCTACTAGACACACAAGTAGAGCAGTTGGAAGAAGGCCCTCAGATCATTCGCACTGTCAATGTGACAGTTGTGAAGATCATCAACAAGTCTGACCCAACAAACATTACATGGTGAGTGGACAGTTTTTTTGTTGTATGTAGAGTAACACTGGGCAGCTGGAAGAAGGCCCTCAGATCATTCGCACTGTCAATGTGACAGTTGTGAAGATCATCAACAAGTCTGACCCAACAAACATTACATGGTGAGTGCACGTTTTTTTTGTTGTATGTATAGGAACAATGGAATTTATACACTTATATTCAATGTTTTATTTCAGCATGATAATTAGAAAATAGCTTATTGATCATTGTCTTGGTAGTTTGTGGATTTTCAGATGTGTAGAGTTCTTGGAAAAAAAAAAAATTACATTAGGTACGGGAACAGGGCATTTCCCCCCTGTCAATTACCCCCCGGATATTTCCCCCCCAACATTACCCCCCTGTCAATTACCCCCTGTCAATTACCCCCCCGCCCAGTAGGACATTACCCCCCCCCCCCCCCCCCCCCCCCCCCGGACAGGGTTAGAGCTAATGTTAGGGCTAGGTTTAGGGTTAGGTTTAGGGCTAGGGTTAGGGTTAGGGTTAGTGTTAGTGTTAGGGTTAGGGTTAGGGTTAGGGCTAGGGTTAGGGTTAGTGTTAGGTTTTAGGGTTAGGGTTAGGGCTAGGTTTATGTTTAGGGCTAGGGTTAGGGTTAGGGTTAGAGCTAGTTTTAGGGTTAGGGTTGTGTCTAGCTTTGGTTTTGTGTGAAGTTTTAGGCTAAGGTGGATGCTTAGGTTTTGGTCTTTTTCTTAAGGTTTGGATTAAAGTAGTATATAGGTATAAAATTCCAGTTAGAGTTAGGATTTTAGCTTGAGAGGGGGGGGGGGTAATTCCCCGGGGGGTAATTGACAGGGGGGTAATTGCTCCGGGGGGTAATTGCTCCGGGGGGTAAATACGGGGGGGGATTTTTGGGGGGAAATATCCAGGGGGGTAATGTCCTGTAGCCATTAGGTACAAGGTGTTAAATGATTTGGGACTGTAACATTAGTTGTAATATGCTTTTTATAGTTTAAAGTTTTAGCACTAAATTGTTAACTTTTTTTCCAGCTGCAAAATATTTCTTTGCTGAAATGCTGTAGAAAATGGCTGAGATTAATACTTTAAGAGATACATTATTTAATGTCATTTTATCAGTCTTTTGAATTGTATTATATTTTAACACTACATTATACATGCATTTATAATTTGTTGTTACTTTTCTTAAACTCTTCAGTGCAATAATTTCTTTGATGAGAGAGTGCTTACAGAGTGAGACATGTTCCTACAAATTTTTGGACTTGGTCATTAAGGTTGGTCAATTTATGATGGTTGATACAGCAATATATATGAAGAATATTATTTATTTATTTATTATTAGCTGTATTTAAAGAGCTGTAATGCCAGTAATACTTAAATTCTCTGGAATAAAGCTATGTGGGCTAAAATATGGTTTGGCTTGCTGACTTATGGGTATGGCTATTCAGCTAGCAGTGGCATAGGCAGGTGATTCCTGGCCAGATAAAAATTAAGAAAAAAGGCTGAAGTCAGTGGGCCATATGGCACATAATATGGTTACATGCAATGCTTAATTAAACTGGTGTGTTATTTCAGTGCCTATGGAAGATCCTGAACCTGGTACCAGACAAGATCAATGATTTGAACTGTGACAGAGTTCTTTATGAAGCTCACTTGTTTTTTCAACAATTCCCTACCTCCAGTTGGAAAAGTAGGCCAAATTTAGACATGCCAATTAGGACAATAAAAACATTGCTGCACAATCTGACCAAGCTTAAAGGACACAAGGTACACCTTTGAATTAAATATTTTACATGGTTACTAGAACCAGCTGTAAAACATACGGAAAAATGTATATAAATACTAAGCTGAAAAGCCTAAGTGACCAGCAGAAAAAGCTTCTTAGACTGCAAAATTATACTTAAACATACACAGTTGATTAATAAGCTTTCTACTTAACTGTAATAAACGTTTCTTTCAGTTTTAAACTAAAATATGTTTTTTTCAGTTTTAAACTAAAATACTAACTTTGAACTGTAACATAAGACATGTATAATATTGCTGAAGAGTTAAGTTAAAAAAATTTCAACATGTAATGATGTAAACTTTCAGATTCTTAGTCACACTGGGCTTATCGGGGCATCTGAAAACTCTGAGGTAGAGGCTTACCTTCACACAGTGCTGGCTAAAAGCAGTGGCAGGCAGGAGGATGCTGGTGTTGATAGGGTAAAGGTAGTTGACTCTAAGGCTACTTAGCATGTGGCATGTCTTAGATTAGATGTTGGTGTTGATAGGGTAAAGGTAGTTGACTCTAAGGCTACTTAGCATGTGGCATGTCTTAGATTAGATGTTGGTGTTGATAGGGTAAAGGTAGTTGACTCTAAGGCTACTTAGCATGTGGCATGTCTTAGATTAGATGTTGGTGTTGATAGGGTAAAGGTAGTTGACTCTAAGGCTACTTAGCATGTGGCATGTCTTAGATTAGATGTTGGTGTTGATAGGGTAAAGGTAGTTGACTCTAAGGCTACTTAGCATGTGGCATGTCTTAGATTAGATCCTCAGTGTGTCCTAGATACTCAGTGTGTCCTAGGTACTCAGTGTCCTAGCTACTCAGTGTCTTAGGTACTCAGTGTGTCCTAGGTACTCAATGTGTCCTAGGTACTCAATGTGTCTTAGATACTCAGTGTGTCCTAGGTACTCAATGTGTCTTAGGTACTCAATGTGTCCTAGGTACTCAATGTGTCTTAGATACTCAGTGTGTCCTAGGTACTCAATGTGTCCTAGGTACTCAATGTGTCTTAGATACTCAGTGTGTCCTAGGTACTCAATGTGTCTTAGGTACTCAATGTGTCTTAGATACTCAGTGTGTCCTAGGTACTCAATGTGTCTTAGGTACTCAATGTGTCTTAGGTTAGGTACTTGGCATGTCTTAGGTGAAGCACTTATTGTTTCTTAGGTGAAGTACTTAGTCAAGTGTCTTAGATTAGGTACTTAGTGTGTCTTAGACAAGATACTCAGTGTCTTAGATTTGGTACTCAGTGCATTTTAGGTGAAGTACTTAGTGTCTTAGGTACTAGGTGTGTCTTAGGTACACTGTGTCTAAAGTTAGGTACTTGGCATGTCTTAGGTGAAGTACTTAGTGTCTTAGGTTAGGTACTTAGTGTGTCTTAGGCAAGATACTCAGTGTCTTAGATTTGGTACTCAGTGCATTTTAAGTGAAGTACTTAGTGTCTTAGGTTTGGCACGAGGTGTGACTTAGATTAAGTACTTTTATACTAAGACAGTACATTTGCCTGCTCAATGTGTAGCTGTGAGAACCCAAAGCTTCATGTGTCTTTAGCTACCTCTTCTTGTTGTAATCAGTGCATGGTAATTAGTGTTTAAATATTTTACCAAGCCATTTTTGTTCAAAAATGGCAATATTTTTTTAACTATCCATGTTGTAAGTTTATATCTAGAAAAATATTTAAACAGTTTATTTACTGTTTTAGAATGCATCCAAAGGCAAACGAGTCTCCAAGACACATGAACTATTGACAGAAATATTCAAGAAAATTGGTACCAAGGAGAACACAAGAGAGGTAACTCCTATTAATTAAATTACACAAGAGAGGTAACTCCTCTATTTACTAAATGACCACTTGATGCTTAGGTCTAAAATGTACAAAGTTCTTGCAGCTGCGGTAAACAATGAATGACTTGTTTGTCAACAACTTTGGTGTTGAGTGTGAGGTTTTAATCCCCAGGGGCTGAATGACTTGTTTGACTTCAAGAAAAAATATCCAGAAGCAGATGTTGAGCCTTTTCTCAAAAAAACTTCAGTCCATTTCCAAAAATACATCAGCAACATGTTGGCAGAAATTGAGGAGGAGAGGAGATCCAGGAAGTCAGGAGGTAAAGTCTTTGTTTAAATTACCATGTTAGATTTCTATCACAATGAAATATTGATGCTGTCTTAAACAACGCAACATTTTTTTTTTTAAAAACAATATCACTAACATGTAAAGAAGTTGCTACTAAAAATTTCCTTTTTCCTCCAGCAGATAAACTACTGGTTATCTTAGCCAGTGAATTAAATTATTTAGTAAAAATTAAATTATTTTTTTTCAATAAAAGTAAAAAAACTGGCATTTGTTTATGATGAGCATTTCAGTCTAACTAGAAGAATTTGTTTTTTTAAGGTGACAACCCAAATCTGAGCTATATGCAGCATGGGACAGAGGACAGTGGTGTGGCTAATGTGACTGGCTCGTCAGACCAGGACATGCCAGATGTTGATTTCTACAGGGAAAAGTTGCGAGAGTTGAGGGCGAGATGTGGTTTAGATAGCAACAACGCTGTTGAGGTGAGATGTGGTTTAGATAGCAACAACGCTGTTGAGGTGAGATGTGGTTTAGATAGCAACAACGCTGTTGAGGTGAGATGTGGTTTAGATAGCAGCAACGCTGTTGAGGTGAGATGTGGTTTAGATAGCAACAACGCTGTTGAGGTGAGATGTGGTTTAGATAGCAACAACGCTGTTGAGGTGAGATGTGGTTTAGATAGCAGCAACGCTGTTGAGGTGAGATGTGGTTTAGATAGCAACAACGCTGTTGAGGTGAGATGTGGTTTAGATAGCAACAACGCTGTTGAGGTGAGATGTGGTTTAGATAGCAACAACGCTGTTGAGGTGAGATGTGGTTTAGATAGCAGCAACGCTGTTGAGGTGAGATGTGGTTTAGATAGCAACAACGCTGTTGAGGTGAGATGTGGTTTAGATAGCAACAACGCTGTTGAGGTGAGATGTGGTTTAGATAGCAACAACGCTGTTGAGGTGAGATGTGGTTTAGATAGCAACAATGCTGTTGAGGTGAGATGTGGTTTAGAAAGCAGCAACGCTGTTGAGGTGAGATGTGGTTTAGATAGCAACAACGCTGTTGAGGTGAGATGTGGTTTAGACAGCAACAATGCTGTGTGAATGTAATATGTTTTGCTTTTTAAAGATTTGGCTACTAAGTTATAATAAACTTCCTTTGTACCAAACTGTATTTCTATCTCTCATGTTAATTTCAATGACAACCTCCCACATATTTTTATTTTTGCTCTATACTTTTTCACCAAACTCCAAACTGATTTCCTTAACCACACCACCCACCTATATGTACCAGGGCGTCTGAGATAGCTTGTTGTAAAAGGTAAACATTAAGTCATGTGACACGTCTATTTTTACCAGGCTGACAGTAACAAGATGGTCAGCAATAGGGTGTCTGGAAACAGCACAGAGACGGATGAAACAGATCACGGAGATTTGGTTAGTTCAGCCACACATTTCCAACACACTTTCAGTTGTCTTTCATGTATTTATATAATATTCTAAACTTTGTTTAAGATATTTTCTAGACATTATTTAATACACATTTTTAGACACTATTTAATGCCCATTTTTAAAGCTTTATTTAGAAGTATATATTTTTCTAGACATTATTTAAAAACCATTAGCTAGACTTGAATAGTAGACATTTTCTAGACTTTATTTGAAATCCTATAATAAATATTTTCTAGAGGTTATTTAAAAGATTTTTCATAAACTTAAGTAGACTTTCTAGACATCAAAAAAAAAAAATAAAGCCTATTTTAGGCTTTAGTAGACATTATTTTAAAGCCAAATTTTAGGCTTCAGTAGATATTTTCTAGATATTATTGAAAAGTCAATTTTTAGGCTTTAGTAGAGATTTTCTAGACATTATTTAAAAGCCTTTTTTAGGCTTAAGTAGACATTAACGTATTTAAAAGCCTTTTTTAGGCTTTAGTAGATGTTCTAGACATTATTTAAAAGCCAATTTCTAAACTTAATAGTAGAAATGATCTGGACAGCTTTATTTAAAAGTCACATCTGACAACAACTTTAGACTGGTTTAAACACATAAAGAAGGAAAGGTTCCGAGAGACTTGTCTCAGCCTGTACTGAATATGTTTCTTGTGTGTCCAGGAAATCCAATGGCCTAGCAACCCCCCACGGGAGGAGGAACCCAAGCAGATGGTAGATGTGACCAGTTTGAAGGCAAGGCTGGAAAAAATCAAGAAAATGGCGAACAGCTAACTCATTTCCTGTTGGTTTTTTTTAACCTTTTCTGAACAACAGTTCCACAGTGACCAGGTGACAAAGGGTCAAGGATTTTTTCCAGGGATTTCCAGTTATTTATAATCATGTAGCAAGCTTTATTGTTTACCAATGTTTTAGGTATGAGATTATTTTATGTAAATCAATTGTGGGTTTATTTTTAGCACATCCAGTTAAGTTACCAGAAAAACTTTCTTAAACAAAAACTAACTGATCAATGTTACTTTGGTAGCCAATGTCTACACCGCTGCTAAAATTATTTTAAATGCGTTTTTTGTTTGATTATCTTAAAGCCAGCGTAGACAGTTTAACTAACATTACAACTTGTATCCTCTGCTGTCAACATTCAATTCACTTGAACTACTGAGTTGTGTAGTTCACTTAATATACCTGTTACAAAAGCATTTACCATGAGACCACTTTATGGTATGGAGTTAATCCTAACTGGGTATGATGGAGTCTCGAACTGAACAAAAATGTATATAGATTTTTTAAAGTACCTATTATTGATCTGATTTTATTGAATGTAACATGCAGGTGCGCAACACTAACACTCAGGTGTATGACACTAATGTGCAGGTGTGTGACACTGTAACATGCAGGTGTGCAACACTAACACTCAGGTGTATGACACTAATGTGCAGGTGTGTGACACAAACATGCAGGTGTATGACACTAACTTGCAGGCATGTGACACTGTAACATGCAGGTGCGTGACCGTGTAACATAATAGAAAAGGTGCATTTATAGACTCACAAGTTCAGTCTAACATTTGTAAAGTTTCTTTCATTTGTAAAGGAAACCAATGCTCCAAGCTTGAAACAGGCAGATGGTGCAATAATGCTTCAATCTTACCATGTTAATGTACTTAAAACACAGAAGCTTTAAACAAAGAAGCGTCGGAAAAATCTCCTACATCCTTAACTATAAACATGTCTCAAGAAGTAAGTGATGAACCTGTTGAATCAACAGTGATTGCATTGTTTTCAAACATATAATTTGATAGCTGTATATAACTATCCCAGTCGGTTATATGAGGCTCCTTTAGGATACAACTATCCCAGTGGGCGGCTCCTTGATTTTTAAAATCTTGAATAATTTATTATCTTACTCTTATAATTGAGATGATTGTAACAAGCTGTGTGAGAATGAGAGATGGGGGAACAAGGATTTTACTCCAACCTATCTACCTGTCTGTGTTGAGTGAATTTGTGTGTGCTCATAAAGAATTAACTATGTAACCTAGTTTCAGTGAAATCATGACCCATGCCTTTTTAAAAAAAAATATTTGGTGAAAATGTAAAAAATTAATGAACATATAATTTAAGCTAGAATAATTGTCCTAGCTTTTGTTTTGTTATATAATCCTTATTTATCGCCTGTTGAATCTAAGATTATGACTGTTTATTGGTTATATTTTATATAAACATCGTTGGTAGCGCGCTTTGAAAGTAGGCACATTGGATACTTTTCACTGTATTGATAGTCTCTAGTTTGGCCTATTGTGTATAAGTAATTACTGGTATCTGTAGAATATGGTACTCTGCATTTACAATGTTTTCATTTAGCTTGTAAATTTATTACACCAAAGTAAGGGTGAATTAGCCCTTACGTTTTTTTTTCTACTTTTTTTAACATTGCAGTTTATTACTATATGCATATCCTCAGTTCTTCAAATATTCAAAGGCAAAGGATTTCTTAAATATTTCATTATTAGTCCAATTACATACATCCTATTCCAACAGTTCTGCTTTAATATGGTGCGTTCAAAACCTAAACACACTTGCCAACATTTCACAATGATGTATAAGGCCTAACCTTGTCAACATGATGTCTTTGAATGCTTTTTATTTTTTGCAGTGTTCTTTACTGTCTTCCTATGTCCTAACTTTGCACCTGTAATCTCACCTGTTCAAACACCTGTTGGTTCCAATCCTGCTGTCTTTATTGCTTGTGTTTAATATTTGTACAAGCCATTTCTATTGGCTGCATGCAAACTAAAGAATTAAAGGCATTCAATTGTTTCTTGTGTGTTTTTTGGTATGTAATATGTTAAGTAGCACCATTGGTTTTTGGTTTGTAGTATGTTAAGTAGCACCATTGGTTTTTGTGTGTTTTTGGTATGTAATATGTTAAGTAGCACCATTGGTTTTTGTGTGTTTTTGGTATGTAATATGTTAAGTAGCACCATTGGTTTTTGTGTGTTTTTGGTATGTAATATGTTAAGTAGCACCATTGGTTTTTGGTATGTAATATGTTAAGTAGCACCATTGGTTTTGTGTGTTTTTGGTATGTACTATGTTGTGTGGCACCATTGGTTTTTGTGTGTTTTTGGTATGTAATATGTTAAGTAGTACCATTGGCTTTTGTGTGTGTTTTTGGTATGTACTATGTTGTGTGGCACCATTGGTTTTTGTGTGTTTTTGGTATGTAATATGTTAAGTAGTACCATTGGCTTTTGTGTGTGTTTTTGGTATGTACTATGTTGTGTGGCACCATTGGTTTTTGTGTGTTTTTGGTATGTAATATGTTAAGTAGTACCATTGGCTTTTGTGTGTGTTTTTGGTATGTACTATGTTGTGTGGCACCATTGGTTTTTGTGTGTTTTTGGTATGTAATATGTTAAGTAGTACCATTGGCTTTTGTGTGTGTTTTTGGTATGTACTATGTTGTGTGGCACCATTGGTTTTTGTGTGTTTTTGGTATGTAATATGTTAAGTAGCACCATTGGTTTTGTGTGTTTTTGGTATGTACTATGTTGTGTGGCACCATCTTCAATGATAGACTACTAGGTGTGATGGAAATGGAAGTAGTTTCAAAGAAATGGAAAAATAAGAATAAATCCAGGGTTGGCGCTAAACTGGAAGCATCAAGAAAAAAGAAAATGGAAGGCAGAGTTGACGTGGAGGTGTATGGCGGGGAAGCAGCTGGCAGAGGCAGAACTGTCATGGGGGACTGCCAAAAAAATTGCCAGAGACAGACAAAAGTGGAGGGAGCTTTCTGTGGCGATCCCATGTGTTTTGGGCACAAAAGGGGGATGATATGTAACAAGTGGTTTAGTGCCCATATTGGGTAACCTGATAAATCAGTCCCTGAGTTCACCCAGATTTTTTAGTGGTTTCAGCAGGACATTACTGCTGACCACACAATCCCTCCAGTAGTAATTTTAAAGAAATATAAAGCCACAAAGACTGTTTGATTAATAAAGTGGCTGGTATATGCACTAATTATTTACATAGGGTTCTCAGCCTGTTGTGGAATCCCTCTATTTCATCTATTTATAAAAAAGACATAAAATTAAAACTTTTGAACCGGTTTGATTACAATCAATAGGTATCTATAAATAATGTAATGGAGATACCAATAAAAGAAGTTTAGAACCCCTAATAAAAAACAAGTGACACTTTTAATGTGTGCTTGTGAACCAATAAACTCAACAGCTGAAGGGAAATGAAATAATGGAGTGTAAAAATCAATAAAGTCAACCCTTTAGCTCACCAACAATATTTTTTTATTGGTATTGTGGTGGGGAAAAAAAACAATTTAATGAAACAAGTTGCAATTGTCCGTAGAGGTGTAGCTAGTCTATGAATGATATTTTATTAGGACAAGATCTTCAGAAGTTTAAGGTGAGGCAAGGAGTGCACTTTATGGTGGCATAATAAATAATAGAATAATATATCTTTACTTAAGATTTTATTTTCAACATTCGTCAGCTCAAGTAAGATTTTTATTAATAAATGATGACTTAAGGCTGACCAAAACATTTAAAAAAATAGTTTCACTTGCACTAGATTCCAAGGTACTAAGTTCCTTAAAAATAATTTACTTATATGTCAACATAAAGTAACAAAAAAATAAAAATAAAAAACAACCAACATAAGGTATGTACACATATTTAATAGTTTGAACAATGAGTCTCAAGCCATAATGGTGGGCCCAGCTTTCTTAGCTTCCAGGGTAACCCCTGCACCTGTGAAACCCGAGGCTCCCTGAGGATAATCATCACAAATTTTGTTGTGTAAATAGTTAATCTAGTCATCAATTATAAACAAATTCAAAACTACATAGATCTATATTCTCTCAATGATTAAATATTAATGTATCAACTTGAATAAACAAATAAAATTCTTCAAATATCCACACTATCAAGTTTAAAAAGATAAATATATAAAATAAAAACACAATAAAAATTAATACTCCAAAAATACTCTATCAACAAATGAAAATTTTTTTAATCCATCATTCAAGACCTAATAAGCCCACCCATATCCTCAGTTTCAGGCCATCTATAGGAAACTAATAACAAAAAAAAAAGTTACCCTTTGTAGTGGGATGATGTCTTTATCAGTCAACTTTTTCCCACTGATTGGGTCCATCATGTCTTTTCTGATAATTTTTTCTATACACTCCATGGTAACAACAGCACCGCTGGTATAAAAAGGTCAAAGGTTACAATAGGGGACAATTATTATTATGTAGGCTATTGGCTAGATTTGAGATATGAAGATAAATTTTAACAAATTCAGCTGGATGTGGCACCAGTGTTTTTTCCAGACTATTTTCTATACACGTATTTTATCTACTGTCCGCCCCTCACCATTCCCTGTGAGATGCCTGAAAGAAACACTGGCAGTATCTTGAGCCGTGTACTAAAAGCAAACACGACAATAACAGCAAAAGATTCCTTTACATTACAAAAGGACACGACACAATCACAACACATCCCAACACTACACAGCACTATTAACTCAACCTAAACATCATACAAACAATACACAACACACCACACTACCAAATCACCGCACACAAATCACAGCACACAACCAAATCATACCACACACCGCACCATCAAGGCACCTCACATCTCCAAAAACACGCTACACCACACAACTAAAACACCACAACCACACAATACACATCAAAACCACATCACCAAAACCCACAACAAGCACACCACAACACCATCAACTTACGAGGGCCTGAGAACAGCACACGGCACTGAGTTCCCCAACACATCATTTGTCACAGCGCACACATAGCGGTTCTGGAATAGATCAAATACAAATTTAGCGGTTCTGGAATAGATCAAATACAAATTTAGTGGTTCTGGAATAGATCAAATACAAATTTAGTGGTTCTGGAATAGATCAAATACAAATTTAGTGGTTCTGGAATAGATCAAATACAAATTTAGTGGTTCTGGAATAGATCAAATACAAATTTAGTGGTTCTGGAATAGATCAAATACAAATTTAGTGGTTCTGGAATAGTTGTGTGTGGGACAGTGTGAAATAATCAGGTGGAAGCCTGACTTAGTCCAGTGGTGGATGGATACATCGGCACAAGGTAGGCTGTTCTTAATACCCCCAAGATCATCTTCCACCCAAAGTTAATGCTCATCTTCACTGTAATTGTTTTTCTATAGATCTACTGCTAAATAATTTTCCTATAAATTAAAAACATCTTGTATAGGTTTATTCTCTGTTGTTAAGATTATTTTATTTGCTTTTTATTGATACTAACAGTGACAGCCAACCTTCCCCTATTATTGTCACTAAAAACACGTTCCCCTAAAAAAAAAAATCAAAGCAATAAACATTTCTCCGTTCAATTGCACACAGCCAAAATTCTAATGGAGCGCGTTAACCCAGTTGACGAGAATCCTTGTATCGTATTGTTCACACGGAAAAAGTTCGTTTAAAAATAAGGGGACGTAAAAATAATAAAAAAATAAAAACTTAAACCTAAAAATTATTCAGAAATTTACTGTTTTTAGAATCAATGTTATAAATCCAGAGAATTTGAAAATAATTTTTTGAGTTTAAGGTTACATTTCTATTTCTTTTTATCAAGCCTAAGTAATTACCGGATGTTTCACTTTTTGCCTTTTTTTTTAAAAAGGTGTTTAAATTCTGAAAAAACTAAAACGTCAAATACATCCACTTTTTTTTTTAAAGTCCGAACCCCCCCCTCCCCCCCCCCCCCCCCCCCAAAAAAAAAGTCGGGATTTTGTCACCATATTAGTTTTAATTACACCACGCATGATTTTTAAAATGTTAAAAGGGCATCTCTATAAGACTATTTTCGCTAGGGCCCATTAAAATAAGAAAACTGAGAAAAATGTGAACTCTGTTAAACCAGTGGGTCATATTGCTCTCCCTTAAAAACACGTCAACAAGAAGGTGTGTCTGCACCTGCCCTAGGTGTTTGAGAGAGAAAACTTGTTGAAAGCTTACAGTTTTTGAGATGAGGGACGTCTTGCTGTCTCTGTCATTGATGGGAGTGAACTTGACAGGGATCAGGTCTTTAAACTTGAGGGGTCGCCCGCTCATGGGGCACCGGACTTTCTCATCCTGGGAAATACGCATGATAAACACATGATAAACACATGATACAAGTTAGAGGCAAACACGATACAATTTAGATGATACAAATTAGATGACAACACACGATACAAGGAAACACTTGATACAAGTTAGAGGCAAACACGATAGAATTTGGATGATACAAATTAGATGACAACACATGATACAAGGAAACATGATACAAATAAACACATGATACAAGTAAACACATGATACAAGTAAACACATGATACAAGTAAACACATGATACAAGTTAGAGGCAAACACGATACAATTTAGATGATACAAATTAGATGTCAACACATTATACAAGTTAACACTTGATACAAGTTATGAGGCAAACACGATATAATTTAGATGATACAAATTAGATGACAACACATGATACAAGTAAACATATGATACAAGTAAACATATGATACAAGTAAACAGATGATACAGGTAAACAGATGATACAGGTAAACATATGATACAACTAAACACATGATACAAGTAAACACATGATACAAGTTACAGGCAAACACGATACAATTTAGATGATACAAATTAGATGTCAACACATGATACAAGTTAGACCAAACACACATTTCGAGTCGTTCTTTTGAACAGAGGCGTTACTAGGGGAGGGATGTGGGGACGCCCCTGGCGCCGACCGTAGGAGGACTCCAAATGTTGTTACATTACGATAGAGAATCTTCTATATTTATAACTCTCTTCTTGGAGACGCTAGAAAACAAGCTGTAAGCGCGCTCCCTACCACACCACCCCTACATTGTCTGGTGAGCTGTGGTTCATGCTAAATGTTTACATCGGGTTTAGTGACGGCTACTAGGGGCAGATAATTTAGTTTGAAACGATTTTAAACTTAGGGAAGGTAACTAAGAGGAGGCTGCTTTCACGGGGGGGGGGGGGGGAAAGGGGGTAGAGTATGAGTTGGGGGAAAGGAGGGTGGGGGTAGTATCGACCTACTGATAGTGTTTTAAAGCAAATATTTTCAGTGGCAGCATTGGTACTGTCGAATTCACAAATTATGAATTACTGAAAAGTAGAAAATAAAACAACTAAATAGCGGCGTATGATACGCCGCGGGTCGGCTCGTTATATTTTAAAATAACTTTTTTTCTTGAGACTACAGAACCTAGGTTAAACAATCAAGATAGAAAATAGTTACATCAGTATGTAAAGGCCTTGAGCCGTTACATTTCTTAACTTGGTTTATAATTCAAAACTGTAGCTTAAAATGAGCTTTTAAAATTTTTATACCCCTTCCCCCTCCCTTAGGTTCGGCGCCCGGGCTTCACCCCCCTCCCCTAGCTACGCCTCTGCGGGCTTTTGCCATTGAATGAAATATAAACACAAAACAATAATATAAACAATCTCCTTCAGTCGGTCAGGCCACATGTCATGCGCGCACGGTGTTGTGCTAACCCGTAAGTCTCGCGGTCTAATCCGGGTTCAAGTAGGTAGACCGTCCGTGAGTCCACCCAACTCTGATGGGTACCTAACGCACGTTAGGGAGAGTAAAGGCGGCTGGGCATAGTGCTGACCACACTATCTCTTCATATGCCGAAGGTCACAGAAACAAGTGAACTCTACTTCACTTGCCCCATTAGACCGTCAGGTTTGAAAGGGAAACTTTACTTCTACTTACAGTGTTGTGTGTCATGCTTTAACGAAAAACAAACTACCCCCCTTCATTATCATTAGTGACATTTAGGTAGTTAATTAACTAATATATTAAATCCTGAAGTACACATGGCCTGTACGACGCTACAGCAGTAGGTCTATAATTTTTTTACTTAAACAGCTTCGTTGTTTCAATACTACCCTTTCCCCTTCTTGAACTTAAAGTAAAACTTTTAACCCCGTTGGTAAAGATTTATGGGGTATGCTGTAAGAAGGCGGGTGGGTAGGGTATATGCTCATTGGAAAAAAATGGAACAAAAAAAATCCACCGTGTTATTGGCCTTGTATGATGGGTGACGTTGTTGGCGCATACAGGGAAACTTTTTTTTTTCCAAACAGGAACTAGATCTAGGCGCTAACGAAAATCAAGGTCAAGACTGGTTTTCCACGATGTTGAATTTAACGAGTGCTGTTTGTAAGTTGTTAGCATAACGACTGACAAGCATTTAGGTCTATCGCCGTACTCGCATCGTCAAACTCAGATTACAATTACGGTGAGCTATTGGAGTGATGCAGTAGCGTAGCGAGGGGGGGGGGGGGAAGGGGGCGGGGGGGGGGAATATGTCCCCGGGCGCCGACCTTAGGGGGCGCCAAAATGGGTTGGAAAAATAAATTGAAAGGTTGAGGGGGGTGCAAATCGAAAGTTTGAGGGGGGGGGGGTGCAAATCGAAATCTCGAGGGGGGAGGGGGGGGGGGGTGCAAATCGAAAAGTTTGTCCCCGGGCGCCGGGAAGGGTCGCTACGCCTCTGGAGTGGTGTCATGCACAAAGTCACAGCTAGCGATAGTAACATTTTATTATACCATTAATACTTGGCTGCACTTACGATATTACTAAAATGTGTTTCCAAATATTTTTAGGCTAACGGGATCTACATTTAAATAAACAAATTCAAATACCTACCCCATTCAGTAGACCTATAAAGCTAATTTTGCACATCTACATTTTTTAGATTTCATTATGAGTAGCCTAGTCCTTCATTCAAATCGAATAAAGGGCTGTACTCAATGCTCTGTATTTTTACCACTGCCCACACACCTCTTCCCGGAAAATTTAGAACCCCCCCCCCCCCCCCCCCGCCTGAAGAAAAGAATATGACAGAAACATAAACACTGCTAGAAATATAGCTCCGTTGTTTAAATGACCCCACCCTCCACTTCTGGCATAGATCTAGTTGAATATCAAGTTACCCCGTTTAAAGGATGTGTGAAAAACTGATGATCTCATTAAAAAAAACCAAAAAACAACCTATTCGGGTGTTATATTCACCTCGCTAATAGCAGCATTCACGTTTGGAGCCTCACACATCATCAAGAAGGTCTAGGTCGGTGTTGTATTTCGTGCCAATTTACTCCTAACTCTAGGCTACACGCTTCGGTTGTAACGAAAATTACAACCGCAAATCTTGCATACAATTGGATTTTATTCCTTAGCTATTTGTCCTTCAAATTCTGTTTCAATAATGGGATTAGATTGATATAATATTGGAATTATGTGAGTTTGTTAATTAATATGTAAATGTCGTGTACCATCAGAAAGTAAATTAACAATATAGCATCCTTCACAAGACATGTGTTGGCTAATGACTCCTAATCAAAGATGGCCAGTTGACAAACGTGGCTTACAAATTTCATAGTGATGCATTTCTCAAGGATTTTATTTTGTGCTTTCTTTGGGATTATTTTGTGTGATAAAAACTAATTCGTAAGAAGTATGCTTTTTACTATAAACCAATTTAAAAGTTTGCGGGCGATCTACGTCCGTGTTGATTAATTTACATTTTCCGAGTACCACACACTTGACGGCGAACTAAGGCCGTTGTTTCAACATGCCTTTACTAGGTAAATTACTCTAGACAACTATAGAATCAACACATGAACCCAATGCACACATTTTATTAAATAATCTTCAAAAGCCATTCCGCTAGGATCGCTATTTTCACGAATTCGTTGTCTTCCAGTTTTGTTGTCAAGAAACTGGTGTTTAGTTCAAGTGACCGCAATCGGGTGCTGTCACGTGGTTTGATACATGTTGACATGGGCTGTTGTTATGTTTACATCCAAACATCACACAAAACAGCCATTATTGGAAACAATTATTTGAAAAAAAATGGCTGCCCAATTATTTTTGGGGTCATTTTTCGATCCATTATGAAAAAAAATAAAAATTCAAACTACGCGGAGAAAAAAAATGGCTTTTTCGACCTTTTTTCGCTCAAAAAATAAAAAATAAAAAACAAATATTGCGTGAGAAAGCGCGCGTTTGATTGGTTGGCTGCTGACACTATGAAATCCTTTAAAGACGGCTCGAAATGTATACCCAAGTTAGAAGTAAACACATGATACAAGTTAGATGTAATGTAAACACAGGATACAAGTTAGATGTAAACACATGATAGATCTAAACACATGATACAAGTTAGATGTAAACACAGGATACAAGTTAGATGTAAACACAGGATATATCTAAACACATGATACAAGTTAGATGTAAACACAGGATACAAGTTAGATGTAAACACATGATACAAGTTAGAAGTAAACACATGATACAAGTTAGATGTAAACACAGGATATATCTAAACACATGATACAAGTTAGATGTAAACACAGGAAACAAGTTAGATGTAAACACATGATAGATCTAAACACATGATACAAGTTAGAAGTAAACACATGATACAAGTTAGATGTAAACACAGGATATATCTAAACACATGATACAAGTTAGATGCAAACACATGATACAAGTTAGATGTAAACACATGATACAAGTTAGGTGTAAACACATGATATACATTAAAAGTAAAGTCACATGAAAATAATTAGCATGATTTAAAACTTTGGATACCGAAACTTGAAGCTAAAAAAAATTACCATCCCTGTTTTGTAAGCAAATAAAAAAAAAAACGTGCTAAAAATTGCTTACTGGCTTTTTGAGTTGTGACGGCTGAGCCTGGGGGGTGAGGGCGGGCACCCAGAAGCTGGGGAGCTTCTTGTCGTCTGTAAGTCCGCCATCTTTGTTTTTCGTGTCTGCCACAAGTTTGTCGGCTGTGGAGTAGAACGTGAAGTTGATGGGTTTAGTTACAGTCAATAATGGAGGGGGGGGGGGTAGGTGGTGTGGGGGGGGGTAGGTGGTGTGGGGGGGGTAGGGGTGGTAGGGGGTGGAGGGTGGGAGTCGAACGTGCAGTTGATGGGTTTAGTTACAGTCAGTAGTGGGGGTAGGGGGTGTGGGAGTAGGGGGTGGTGGGTGGTGGGGGAGTAGGGGTGGGGGTTAGAGGTGTGGGAGTAGAACGTGAAGTTGATGGGTTTAGTTACAGTCAATATGGGAGGGGGGTGGGGGTAGGTGTTGGGGGGTAGGGGTGGTAGGGGGTCGAGGGTGGGAGTAGAACGTGAAGATGGGTTTGGTTACAGTCAATAATGGAGGGGTGGGTAGGGGGTGGGGGATAGTGGGTGGGGGGATAGTGGGTGGGAGTAAAACGTTAAGTTGACAGGTTTAGTTACAGTCAATAATGAGGGTAGGGGGGGGGTAGGGAGTGGGGGTAGGAGAGTGGTTGAGGTGAAAGAGGTGGGATGATGAAGGGGGAGAGGAGGAGTTGTATGGTGGAGGGTGGATTGATTACGGTGGAGGGGTGGACTATTTAAAAGGGATGAAATGGAAGGTTGATGGGTTTAAAAAGAAGTTTATAGAGACGGAAGGTTGGAGATTATAGTGAAGGAGTGGAAAGGTTTATAGTGGAGAGTCGTAGTGAAGGGTTATGTTGTTTAACGTAAGGGGAAGAAGTGAAAAGGTGAAGGGTGAAAGGTTATGGCGGTGACGAAGTGGGTGTTATGGTAAAAGTTTACATATCATTAGCAAGACGGCAGGAGAGTTTGTAAACATACGAAAAGGATCAATAAATAAATAAAGCGGGAGTGATCACCCTTAAACTTTCTCGAATATACTTGTATAACATTACGGGGGATGGAAACTCGTGAAAGACATGGTATTTAATCAATTTTCACATACCTAATACTTAGTACTTTATACATTCAATTGCGTTTTTTAAGTAATCGGAAATAGCGTAAAGTACTACTTCCGGTCACCGGAAATTACTCAAAATTTGAAAGAATTAGAATCTTTTAATTATATAAAAAATTTCGCCTATCTATCAGAGACAGTATAGGCTTTTGAAAAACCGAAAGTAGAATACCTTCCACTTCCAGTTACCGAAAATCGCTGAAAAGTTGACACACAACTACAAATTTGATATAATACATGTATATGCAATTTTTATCAACCAGCTGTAACGGTACTCAAGTTATCGTGTTTACAGACACACATCCAAACACACTGACATACGGTAAAAAATTTGCAAAACCCTGTTTTTCCGACTATATGACGTGTAAGACACCGATATTTTGATACATTTTGATTAACAACATTTGCCCGATTTAAATAAGTCCCCTAATACTCCGTATACGATGAAGTACTGTGAAGTAAAACTGTGAAACCTGTCAAAATGTCATGTGAATTTTGTGCACGCTTACAACACTTCCTCTGTACTCTGTATACGCGAAAGTAAAAAGCGCTAAAAATACCAATAAACACAAGTATCAATATAACAAGTCCAGGTATTGATCAGGTAAATCAACCAATATAAGGAAGGCAGGTGTATCCTAACCTCACACACCTGAGCTGGAGGATATGGTGAGATCGTAAGGAAGTTTTCTTTGTGTTAGACAAGTGTAGCGGGATATTCATTAGGAGACATACCTGACGTGTACCAACAGCGTGAGTTAAGTCAGGTACAAGTCAGGTATAGGTCAGGTACAGGTCAGTTTACACGTCAGGTATAGGTCAGTTACACGTCAGGTACAGGTCAGTTTACACGTCAGGTATAGGTCAGTTACACGTCAGGTACAGGTCAGTTTACACGTCAGGTATAGGTCAGTTACACGTCAGGTATAGGTCAGTTACAGGTCAGGTATAGGTCAGGTACAGGTCAGTTTACACGTCAGGTATAGGTCAGTTACAGGTCAGGTATAGGTCAGGTACAAGTCAGGTATACGTCAGGTACAGGTCAGTTTACATGTCAGGTATATGTCAGTGACAAATCGGGTACAATTGAGGTAAAAGTCAGGTATTAATCAAATACAAGTTAGGTAAAAGTTAGGTACGAATCATGCATACTTGAGGTACAAGTCAGGTACAAGTTATGTATACTTCAGGTAAAAGGTATAAATCAGGCTTTGTTAGGTACAAGTTATGTATACTTCAGGTAAAAGGTATAAATCAGGCTATGTCAGGTAAAAGTTATGTATACTTGAGGTACAGGTTCGGTACAAGTCATGTACAAGTGGGGAACACAGAATGACGAGCTACTAAACTTGACCGATGGGGAACCACAATCTGTAGTTGGCAGCGATTAAAAACAAACTACGGATACAAGGAAACGCATCAATATTAAAATCTTTAAAGCTTGACACAAACAGATTAAATTTTGACGGGGTCCCTGGAACGGTTGTACCCACAATGGCGGGTTATATTTTGTCGGTCAGCTTTCCTTTAATCTGCCACCTATCTTCAATACAAACGTGTGAACTTTATGTGTTGAAGATATGTTCGGACTTGTTATTTTAAGTGGTCTCAAGTAATAGACGTTTTTTTTTACAGGTAGAGATTACATGTCTCCGGACGGATCAAGTTGTATTCGGAAATAGAGCAAGACGCTAAACTTGCACAATACAGTGGACAAGAACACAGCATCTAAGTTGCGAGTAAAAACGTCCCAGTAACGATTCACGCGTATGATTAGCGAGTCACTAAGTCCCAGTATGGAGTCTAAAGTCTCAATGGCCAGTCACAATTCTAAGTAGCACGGCCCTACATCACAGTATCAAGTCTCAATAGGCAGTCACAATTCTAAGTAGCACGTCCCAACATCACAGTAGCGAGACGTCACAGTTGAGAGTTAGAACGTCACATTAGCGAGCCACAACTCTAAGTAGCACGGCCCAACATCACAGTAGCGAGACGTCACAGTTGAGAGCAAGCCAGAATTCTAAGTAGCACGGCCCAACATCACAGTAGCTAGACGTCACACCTCAAGTGAAAAGAACCACGACTCCCCCCCCCCCCAATGATGAGAAGCCTGATGGACCGCCCCATCTTCATCTACCGACTGCGCCACATCAAAACCTGGCTAGTCCTGGCGGCCTGCCTCTCCCTCCTAGTGCTGACCCATGACCTCGTCACGGTCCAGCTGTCACGGGTGTTTGTCCAGACCTCCCCTGCTGGTGCCAGTGAGCAGACGAACACGACTGGAGCAGGGAATGTGAGCTCCGTGACCTTCAGGATGACCTTCATAAACAGCTCACAGAGGACGGGGTCAGTGGACCGTGAGATACCCGGGGAGTCGGCGCACAAAGATAGGTTGGTGGGTAGATCTTTCCATTCTATGCTTTTAAAATGTGTCACAAATTTGACATGAAATCATGTTGGTGGGTAGATGCTTCCATTCTATGCTTTAAAAATGTGTCACAAATTTGACATCAAGTCATGTTTTTTTTTTGGGGGGGGGGGGGGGGGGGTAGATCACTCCATTCTATGCTTTTAAAATGTGTCACAAATTTGACATGAAATCGTGTTGGTGGGTAGATCTCTCCATTCTATGCTTTTAAAATGTGTCACAAATTTGACATGAAATCATGTCATATTTGGCTTATTTGAGTAAAAAGCAATTTTATAAATTTCTCGTAAACAATATGCCACCTTCATTGCAAAAACACAACTAGTTGTCACAACTAGTAATATTTTAAACTAATGACAGAACAAGCAACAACACATAATGTATATTTTAAAATAATATTTTTTCCTAGCACTGTCTAATCCTTGTGAAATGCACCAAATTATCTACTTAAGCAACACTTGTCTTTAGTCCGACTCATCATGATTGTTAAACATTAGACAAATTAGCATCTTAAATTGTATTAATTTTTTCAAGCAGGGTGATAACATTTGGGATGGGGGTATGACTATACATGCCACATATTTTCTCAAAACTACTGAGGAGCTATAATGCTTCCGAAATCCCTTTTTAATATCATTCAAGATAATTAACCATGAGTGACATATCTAAATACATGAATTATATCCCTTTAAAAATTAATATGGTCTTTTCCAATCCATATTTCTAAGTATGCTAACAATATTAATAACATTAACAAACGTTAATCTGAAATTATCCATAACTACCTAATAAACAGACTACTAAAAACAGATATTATGAAAGATTAAATTTCCTTAAATCTTCAACGTGTGACCATCCACAAAAAGTCGAATTTTTAAAAAACAATTTCACTATGAATAACCGTCTGTATGTTTTTTAGCGCTATTTCTAGACTAGACAATGGCGATTATTAACTCGTTATTTCTGGATGGATGGATGGATGTGCGCAGCTTTAAGTCGTATCTCCTCCTCAACAAAGCAATATCGAGGACTAGTTCCAAAAGCAAATATGTTAAGCAAGTTCCGAGGATGATTGTGGGCCAAAAAAATTACCGGAATTCCTTCCTGGATTTCCCGGAAAAGCCAAAAAAAAACCTCGAAAAAAAATGCAGTTTTTGGTCCATATCTCGGCGAGCAGACAACTTAGCGACTTGAAACATTTACCAATCGATTCCTGCCATAATTTAGAACAATATTGCCGAAGAAAGTTTTCAAAAATATCCTTTCGTTCGGTCACAAAAAATTAATTAAGGAAATTGTGCTTAAATTGTCACTAGACTTTTTATTAACTTGTTTGTATTTGTATGTTATTTTTCTCCATAGACAAGACATAAACGAGGAGTCACGTGACCAAGAGTTCCATCAGATTGACCAGCTCAAAGCCTGGGTGTACTCGGCTTACTACGAGACCGAGGCGAGGGCAGTGGTTCGAGTTTTAGGGATGGCCCTGAGGGAAGGAACGCCATCCATTATCTGCTGTTACAAGACGTTAAACGGAAGCGAGGCTGTGTACCCAGGCAAACGAGACTTTATTAAGGGGTCGCATCAAAAAAGGTAAACAGAAGCGCGTATTCAAATCGTTTTAGTTCGCGATTATATTAAATTATTATTATGGCTCTATTGAGTGGTTGCGCATTAGAAATCCAAGCAAAATCCCTGGGCAGTAAGATGAGAAGAAGCAGATCTTGCCCATATATCAGACCCCCTCTTTGCTCACAGCTGAACGGACCTAATGGACAGGACGTTACCTGTACAACTAGGAACCAGCAGTGTCGCAGAAAACAAACCAGAGTTGGTAATCCTTTCGACTAAGGGGCTCCACTCCTGTTTGATTTCGGACAGCAACTCATCTAGGAGGGTAAACTCCGGAATCAGTTACGCTATAGCGCATCAAACAATAAGACGTAATTTATGATTAAGTTTTGAAAATACATTTTTTTGGGTCTCATTTAGGTTTGTACCTGTGATCTACGAATGTGAAGCAGACGCCAACATAAAGCCAGTGACTGTGTCGTTGACGTACTCATTAAATGAAACCCGTAGAAATTACGTCATGATTCAGTACCCCAAACAAAGGGAGAGAAACTTTACAGTGTGTTACCCCGCTTTGTTTGGTTACAATAACATCTCTAGAATTATTCAGGCCATCGAGATCAACAGAGTCCTTGGCGCCCAGCATTTCTTCATCTACAACTACAGCATCTCTCGGGAAATGGATGCAGTGCTGCGTCACTATCAGGATGAAGGCGTCCTCACAGTCCTGCAATGGCCGCTACCGCTAGATGACGTCAAGGACGTTTGGTACTACGGTCAGATGACCGCCATCAACGACTGTGTATACCGCAACAAGTTTGTATCCCAGTACGTGGTCATACAAGATCCTGACGAGTTCATCATACCAAACCATCACATGACCTGGTCAGACCTGATTCAGGCAGCGGAACGCGAATACCTAAACCAACCTTATACAACTCTCTATCCTTTAGGCTCATTTAACTTCCAATCCGCGTACTTCTCTGACAGACCACAAGGAACCGACCTCCAAAATTTCTCTATCGCAGCAGACGACGAAAGATTCCTACGCCAGTTCTCCGTGTTTCCCCTGATCCACCTCCACCGCCAGAAAACTGCGTTCAAGTTCCCCAAGAGATCAAAAGCCATCGTCCGGCCCGACCACATCCACCTCAGCGGCATCCACTACACCCACGCGCACAGGGGCAGCGCCACGTACACCGTGGTCAGTAACCAGCTGGCCGTCGTCCACCACTACCGGATGCCCGTCCAGGTCGGTGTTCTGGACTTCTCGGTGTTGAAGTTCAAGGACACGATTCTTCCCTTGCTAAGAGAAGCCTTTGGTAAATTTAAACACCTGTTTCAAAATATCCCGATTGAAAAATTACAACTCTCACAAGTAAATCATATATACACGTAGATCTAGTCCCTGATGACTTACTTCCAGCGCTACAAAGGTACGGCCGAACACAAAATGTCTCGGGTTAGGTATCAAATGCCATCGCATGTCCACAACCTTTAACCCCGAGACTAAATGGTTAACACAGCAAGTGCTCGGATAAAGATTGCGTAATGTATTTTATTGACGACCCTTGACCTCCGGAGTTGACCTTTAATGTGTCCCACGTGTTATTTCACGTATACCTGGTCGGATTGACCCATGAACTCCGGGATTGACCTTTAATGTCGCCCACGTGTTAGATCAGGTTTAACCTATGACCCCTGTATACAGGGTCGGTATTGACCCTCGACCTATAGACGGTGGTGACTGAGCTTAACTTCCTACGAACAGGGTCAGGGTATTCTCAACAACTTCCAAGTTACATGGCGATCGGATGAAAAGTGCATTAAAGACAAACAAACCCACATACTTTAATGTATATAGATATACACACCTCTATGTATGTATATAAGTTTGTGTATCATGTCTGTGGTTTCTGGTTGAATAAAAACTTGAAAAGAACGTACAACTGCCGTTTTACGATATTCAAAGTTTCGAAGATGAAAGCGATACTGTTGTTAATATATGTAATTATCAGTTGTCATTATGGGGGACCATGAGAAGCGGACTCCTACCCCCTCCACTAAACCTCCTAGCTTTCACCAATGCGCACTGTACACGCGACTGAACTATAGGCGTACAACGTGTATTAAAAAAAAAATTACCAAACCATCATAAAAAAACAACAGCCTCTTGTGGGTCCGCACACTTATCAATCGAAGCAAACCATCAGAAAATTTTGACATTTTCACACCATCACACTAGGGTCGATACAGCATGATAGACATAAATTGACCATACTTGAACCTTTCATATGCCAATTAACCACGATACTCGATCATTGTTTCGATAGCCTCAAACAACCCTCAACACCCTCTAAAACTATCGACCTCCTTACACACATTTAACTCCGAATGCTGCACACATAAAACCCTTTACCACCGTCCATAGGCCAATTAGCCACACTAACGAGACGACTTGGATTTATTTGGGGATTTGTGTCGTGATTCGCGATTTATATTTTTTAACACAGGTGTAACAGCGTTTTGTGGGAGGTAAGAACAATACTCGGGCTTTAAGAAAGTGTCACGGGTTCAAAACTATTATGAATGTATTCGTACCTTAAAATATAATTCATATAACTGACGGGACTTGAATTAGAAACTTAACCCCGCAAAAAAACCTTTCTGGGCTGTAGGCTATATATATATATATATATATATATATATATATATATATATATATATATATATATATATATATATATATATATGTATATATGTATATATATATATATATATATATATATATATGTATATATGTATATATATATATATATATGTATATATGTATATATATATATATATATGTATATATGTATATATATATATATATATATGTGTGTATATATATATATATATATATATGTGTGTATATATATATATATATATATATGTGTGTATATATATATATATATATATATATATATATATATATATATATATATATATATATATATATATATGTATATAAATAAACAAAATAGAGTAAGGGGGGCGGTTAACTAATTTAAAATTTCGGGGTGTGGGGGCGACCACTACACTGATTAGAGTAGGCCTATATATTTTCTATATAAATTCTATAATCTATAATAATAGTTTCGCTGTCTGTCTATCTATCTATCTATCTATCTATCTATCTATCTGTCTGACAAGAACGCTCTAGAGAAAAGACAAGCAATTTAAAAACATGCATAGTAATTCGAAAAACGAAGTATGACGTCGACACATTTAGCATAGAGTTGAAAATAATCTCACAGTAATATAATGACGTCATTGATTCTGGCGTAAACATTGAATAAAGAGGAAATGTTGTCTAATCTAAGTGGTTTGCGTGAAGAGTTTCTTGCATACAATTCTTCGGGTAGGGGCGAAGCCCCACCCCCCGCGTAAGAACGTCTGAGCCCCTCCCCCTCCCCAACTCAAAAGAAATTTCTTAATCGATACTCTATAATAAAATTACCGCCTAATTAATGTGTCTAATCTCAAAAGTGGTTTTCTTGCAATTTCTTTAATCAATTCTTCGGGTAGTGGCTAAGCGCGACACCAGTGTTTCTTTCAGACTTTTTCCTCCCCGGAAAGGGGTGGGGGTAATTGAAATTTTCGGGGGCGGGGGTAGAATTTTCGGGGAGGGGGGCGGACACTGGAAAAAGTATATAATTATATTTCGTTGAATGGGACGGTAGACATGTTTTTTTTGGGAGTGGGGGTGGGGGGGGGGGGTGGGGGTGGGGGGGGGGGGGGGGTGGTTTCCTCATCGATACTCTATAATAAAATTACCGCCTAATTAATGTGTCTAATCTAAAAAGTGGTTTTCTCGCAATTTCTTTAATGCAATTCTTCGCGTAGTGGCTAAGCGCGACACCAGTGTTTCTTTCAGACTTTTTCCTCCCCGGAGAGGGGTGGGGTACTTGAAATTTTCGGGGGCGGGGGTAGAATTTTCGGGGAGGGGGCGGACACTGGAAAAAGTATATAATTATATTTCGCTGAATGGGACGGTAGACATGTTTTTTTGGGGGGGTGGGGGTGGGTGGGGGGGTGGTGTGTGTGTGGGGGGGGGGGGGGGGGGTTGGTTTTAGTTTAGAGAAAAGAGACAGCACTATCAACCTAGCGCCCGGTGTATCCTTCCTCAACGGGCCATTTTTCTCGTTAATTTATATTTTTGTCCGAGTGGGGTAGGGTGGGGGGGGGGGGGGGGGGGAGAAAAGATTCGGCGGTTGTGCTACGAGAGGGGGGGGGATGTGGCAGTGCCCTGGGAGGGATGACTGAAAGGAACTCCGTCCCGATTATTATATATATGTAGATATATTGGAAATATTGTTGATTTTTAACAATACTATGTAGCCTACGTCACAAACACCATATCTTATTATTACACTATTTTATTTAACTTGCTTCATCTGTCTGTCGTCAGTAGTAATAGATCGAAATGAGCGAGCGAAATTTCGGGCACTTCTAACGGAGAGATTCATTTCAGTTGGCTAGTGGTTCAAGACTTGAAGACAATGCAATATAATATTAAACTTGACTTATTTGGATGCCTAATTAACTTTTTATAAATTAATTAACATTTTTTTAAATTAGTAGGCAGTCTTGTACTAATCTTTCCGCACTATTATACGCGCATTATCATGTTCATTTGGTACGCAATTGCTTTTAGTCATGCAACTATATTGTACATTTAAAAAATTTAAAGCACTGAAAAAAATTGCATAAAAAACGTTTTAATAACAAGCTTTTATGTAATAATGTACTAAAAAGCAGAAAATAAATGATTTTCTTTAAATATATAATACTCAGCTATTTAAATAACCTATAAAGAAAAGCGTGGGTCACTATATCTATTGGATACCTATACTAATATTTAGGAAGAGACCCACGCATTTCTTTATAGTTATTTAAATTTAAATAGTTGAGTATTTTATATTTAAAGAAAATCATCTATTTTCTCCTTTTTAGTGCATTATAATACAAAAGCTTGTTATTAAAACGTTTTTTATGAAGTTTTTTATTATAATTATTAATTAACAAACAGGAATAAATGCCGAACAGGTTTAACGTGGAGACATGACAAGGACGAGATGTTCTGCACTAAAGACAACCACAAACAGCCTGAAAGGTATCAACAAGCTGCTTCTAGCTGTGGGAGCCGGTACCACGTTCTTATTCATGCACCTGGCCGTCTCGTATTTAAATTTCCCTGGTAAAATAGTGAACGTTAACAACAGTCTTAGCCTACAAATGTTGTACATTGTGACAAACAACGACTTTACGCATACGTTTACATCAGATTCACCAATAAAATAGTAAGTATACCACTTGGGTTTTTATTTTACCTTTTAAACGCTATACTTGCCGTTCCGGCAAGGCGTAGTTCTGGCTCATCAAATTTGACACTAGCATTTTTAAATAAACGCGAGGAAAACGAGGACAAAAAAATGTCGACTTATTCTTTTACAAGTAGAGTAAAACAAGAAAAAAAACTTGTAGACTTATTCTTTCACAAGTAATGAAGAAAGTGGTATAATTTGAATTTGCTGATTTTATTCGGTTTTCTTCCCAAGTTAAATATTAAGTTATAAAATTGTGAATGATGAAATTATAAAAGTAAAAACATTTTTTTTTCTTCTGCGTATCAAATTAAAAGGGCAATTAGAAAAAAATCTAATAAAAGTACTAAAATATGATTATTTCTATTTTTCATTATCCAACTATGATTTTGAATTTGTAAACCATTTAACAAAAACATTATGAAACTAAAAAAAAAAACATTTCAATTTATCAAGTACAAATAGTTCAACAGTGTCACGTCACACGGAAGCTTTTCAACCAATCAACGACAACGACGCTTGGGTTTACTCCGCCTACTATGACGTTATGAGACCAAACTTAACGGTGATTAGAGTCATAGGAATGGCCTCACGCAACAATCATACGGTCTACTGTCACATGAGCAAGGATGGATACACGGCTATAGGGAAAGGAAAACATAAGTTTTTAGTAGAAGATCACTATAAAGAGTAAGTAGTATTTTTATAAAATACACACAAAAAAGCGCAAATATTGATAAATTATTTTAAATTATGTAATTAAATAAAAAAAAATTTATTAAAGAGAAAGTAATCAATATAATATATAATAAATATATTTTATGGGAGAGGGCGTATCTCACAATAAGACATGCTAGAGTTTATTTCGAAGGGTGCCTCCAGCCTGGTCTGGTTTTAAAGAGAACGTATCTTTTATAAATAGAGTTTTAATTACATTTTCGAAAAAAGAAAAAGAACAAAAAAGAAAATAAATAAGCGATATACATTATAAAATTACTTTAACATTTAAAAATCTTGAGTTTATAACTCTCGCCTTTAAAAATAACACAATATGTTTGATGTCAGGTACACAGCGACAATGTTTGAGTGTTTTGTAGGACCAAAATTCAAGCCAACCTCCATCTCTATCACATACAAGCCTGACGTCACACCGACCAATCTTTTAGAGATTCAGTACCCCAAACAAAGGGAGAGAAACTTTACAGTGTGTTACCCCGCTTTGTATGGTTACAATAACATCTCTAGAATTATTCAGGCCATCGAGATCAACAGAGTCCTTGGCGCCCAGCATTTCTTCATCTACAACTACAGCATCTCTCGGGAAATGGATGCAGTGCTGCGTCACTATCAGGGTGAAGGCGTCCTCACAGTCCTGCAATGGCCGCTACCGTTATCAGATGTAAAGGGTATCTGGTACTATGGGGAAGTGGTCGCCATCAACGACTGTGTTTACCGCAACAAATTCGTATCCCAGTACGTGGTCATACATGACATTGACGAGTTCATCATACCAAACCATCACATGACCTGGTCAGACCTGATCGAGGCTGCTGAACTTGAATATTTAGGTCGTCACAATATCTGGAACAGACCTATAGGATCGTTCACATTTGAATCCGCTTATTTCAAGACTTTATGGAACGCCAGATTGTGGGAACAGATCAAGAAAAATTTCTCCATCACAACAGATGAGGAAATTTTTTTCAAAAAATATTTTGTATTTCCTTTTTACCAGGTCGTAAGACAATCCAGCGTTTATAAATTTCACAAGAGAACAAAAACCATTGTGAGGCCTGAACACATCCTGGTGAGCGGTATCCACTATACCCACGCGCACAGGGGCACAGCCAACTATACCGTGGTCAGCAACGATATGGCCATTGTACACCACTACAGGAAAAATAAACTTTGCAACTTCACTGACACGTCAGCACTTAGATTTAAACAACTGGCCTACCCCTTGTTGACTGCTAGCTTCGAAAAATTTTCTCACCTGCTAAAACAAAATAACCAGCCGCAATGGCCAATAACGTTTCGTAAAATCCACTTTTAAATGACAGAAATTACCATAAATACTGCATAATCTCCTTAGTTTTTAATATAATTATATATCTATTTATACATGTATATATAAGAGGCTATTTAATCTTTCTACGTGAGTAAAACATTCGTGATAATACTCTTCTTTAATTTATGGTTCTATGATGCAAATGTCTTAGAATGTTATTATCTTTTAATTTTTTAAAAACATTTAGCTAGATTACTGGATCAAAATATTACTAAATTATATTTTTAAAATGCTTACTCAACAATGCGTTACTTTGATGCGCATGCTAGAGTGTGCTGAGTGAATTGAAACTGCATTCTAGGAATAATGTTAATGTCTTTGTTGACTTAAGCGTTGTGTTATGGGGAGGGTGGTAGGGAGTGGGTGAAAAGGGGTGGAAAATGGTTGAGGGTGAACGTGGGGAGAGAGCTTTTAATGTTGGCACAGCTATTAAAATATTTGGTTATTTTGTCAGCTTGCATTAAAACTCGACACAAATAAGTATAAAGTTAGTTCGACGGGTTTTCAAAGGTACCATTTTATCAAGGGTACTCAATTTAGATAAAATATTATTTCATTTTGTCATTCATTTTTAAATAAAAATAACTAATTTAAAACTTACTCTTAACAAAGAAATATAATTTCTTAATTTTAAAGTCAAAATGTCGCAAATTTTCTGGCATAGAAAATAAAAGGGAACTCCCCCTATTCAGATTTCGGTAGTGTGTAGTTACAATCAAATAAACTTCATAATTTAATTCCCTTTTCCATATACAGTTAATAATTCTAAATTGTCTCACACACTGCTGATATCGAAGTACAGAAAAATATTTAAATTATTTTTGAGAATTATATGGTCTCGTGGAGGAGAGACAACTTTCATACATAAAAATGGCCTTTTTGTTAATGAAAAACAAACAGATTAATGATATTCTCTGATGGTTGTTGTCTCGCATCGATTATGAAGCGGAGAGGTAGAGGTGTCATGCCTTGCGTTCATGTCTTAAAAACATTTTTAGAATTTAACTAGACTACCCGTCATCCGTTGGATAACTGTGGGTTTCGGGGGGTCATCCATCAAAAAACTTCACGTCTGTCACTCAGAGAAGTAGCGACCCTTCCCGGCGCCCGGGGACAAACTTTTCTATTTGAACCCCCCCCCCCCCCCGCAAGATTTCGATTTGCACACCCCCCCCCTCAAACTTTCGATTTGCACCCCCCTCAACCTTTCAATTTATTTTCCCAACCCGTTTTGGCGCCCTTAAGGTCGGCGGCCGGGGACATGTCCCCCCCCCCCATCGCTACGCTACTGCAGTGTCACTTATCGTCACAAAAAACCAGACCCCACATTCAAAAAGATGTTTTTATATTTTAAAAACTCTACTAAACTCTACTTCACCTGCCCAGTGTCCCGCCAAGTCTCAGACATGTTTGAATTTTAAAAAAAAAACGATTCCGGCCGAGCATGGCTCTGACCACACAATCCCTTCATATGCTGAGAACATAGAAACAGGTGAACCCTACTTCACCTGCCCTGTGCCCCGCGAGGTCCTGATAGTCAACCTTATCATTCACATATAGGGTTTAAGAAAAAATAATTGAAAACGTAAAAAAAAAAGTTCTATTAATTTTAATGACACTGACTTTAAAATTTAGCCTTCATTCTCCAAAGCAAATTTTAAAATGCTTTTCTGGCATATCTAGCCCTGGCCACCTATACCATGTTTAAATAATGTGAACGCCTGCCATTTTGCTCGTGGTAAACATGGCCTAAAATGGTCGGAAGTCATGCGTCCGGTCCGGCCGCCATATTGTTGTTAGCAGCCGACCACGCCTCCAAGTTAGTGAGTAATCCTACTATATCTAGATCTAGAACATAGATTTAAAAAATCCCATATATTCTCGAATTAGATGATCATTGAAGCTAAACAAAGATTTATATAAAATAATTAAGGCCTGAATTAGATTCTAGATGTAGAATTTACATTAAGTCTAGATCTAGAATTTACATTGAGTCTAGTGACCTAGATCTAGGCTAGATCTAGATCTAGATTCATATTTCATAACTATTAGTATTAACTTTCCTTCGACAGCTGATCTTTAGATCTAGAGAAATTTATTGTAAAACTAAATGAAAAAAGACAGTTGAAAATTGATATAAGTGTTGGAACGTAATAAATACAGCAAACGGACGTATTGTTTAAGTTAAAGCCGGCAGAAAATTAGCTTTGTAACGCGTTAAACTTTTGAATGGGCCACAAAGTCTATGATGGAGTCCGCTATTTTTATGGTACTAAAAAGTAAACACATCAAGGGACGTCACTATTCCCACAAAGTTTTGTCAATGTTTTAACATTTAAAAAAAAAAAGTGGTTAATCTACCTATGAATAAATCAATAAATTAATTAACGTCTTTAAATAAATTTGTGATTAACAGTCTGTCTTAAAACAAAAATTGTTCTCTACCTACATACTATTTTACAGCTCTCCACGATGAGTGGAACCATTAGATATAGTAAATCAGACAAACAAATAAATATTCAAACATGTAAACAAAAGTTGAGTTTTAGTAGTATTAGATAGATAGATATATTGGGGGACGTGGGGGGGGGGGGGGGGGGGGTCGAAAACGACGACGACGGCATACACACCGATAGCAATGACGAGTTTCATCTTGTCACATTAGCGGAAACTACAAAGATAGGCTTCACCGGGAGTCAGGACAGATGAGTCTGGAGATCTTTGGTCGGTGGCCCGTACCCCTGCAGGACAGGGGTCTCTGGAGATCTTTGGTCGGTGGCCCATACCCCTGCAGGACAGGGGTCTCTGGAGATCTTTGGTCGGTGGCCCATACCCCTGCAGGACAAGGGTCTCTGGAGATCTTTGGTCGGTGGCCCATACCCCTGCAGGACAGGGGTCTCTGGTGATCTTTGGTTGGCGGCCCGTACCCCAGCAGGACAAAGGATTATGGAGATCTTTGGTTGGCGGGCCATATAACAGTTATCTGTGTTACTATGTCAAAGGCTATAGTGGATATCAAAGTGTCGTACAGCTACGATCATAGTCAGTGTGTCATTATCAAAGATAGGCGTTGCTGTGTCCTATACCAATGACAAATATCACTGTGCCTTGAAGAAATGACGAATGCCACCATATCCTGTATCAATTCTGAGTATTACAGTATCCTCCAACGATGATAGGTGTCGCGGTGTCACTGTGTCTATAGACATACCAAACCTATCAAAGCCTTACACACGGGACTAATTCATCCTATTCAAATGGCGTCCAACCTGCCACTAACAGCTGTGATGTTAAGCCCGCAGGAAGATGATAGTTTAATACCACGGATGGGCGTGAGTACTGATAGTACAATCAGGTAAAACGTGCATTTTAACATGTCAATACAATTATTTAAAAACGCAGTTTTTATTATTATTATATATATATATATATATATATATATATATATATATATATATATATATATACATATACATACATATATATATACACATACATATTTGTATATGTAATTTAATGTATATATATAATTATATATATATATATATATATATATATATATATATATATATATATATATATATATATATATATATATATATATATATGTACATACATATTTGTATATGTAATATAATGTATATATATAATTATAATTATAAATATATATATATATATATATATATATATATATTTATAATTAAAATTATATATATACATTATATTACATATATTATATAATGTATATATATATATATATATATATATATATATATGTGTGTGTGTGTGTGTGTGTGTGTGTATAAAGCTTCGTAATTAAATAATATTTTAACAGAAACATAAAAGATGATTACTAACAGACTGAAGGCTAGTAATAAACTGCTTCCAGTCGTTGCTGTTGGCGCCACTTTCTTGTTACTGCAACTGGCCGTTACACCAGTGAATGATTACATCAGTCAAAGTCCAAAGAGGTTACGTGTCTTTTTAATGAAAACAAACACAACAGTATCGCCGGTACGAAGGTGAGGTTAACATACTTTTAATGTTTGATTTGCCATTCCGGCTAGGCGTAGTTCTAGCTCAGAAAATTTGACACCTTATGTTTTGCTTCTATCAGAAAAAAAAACATTTTAAAATAGGCCAATCATTTGATGTAAGTTAAAAAAAAGTGCAGGTTTATTTTATGTATAAGAAAAGACCTTTAAATTTTAGGAACTAACCTAATTTGTAATATGTTGTTTGCTTTAGCTTTTGCTATAAATATTCATTGCGAAACCCAAAGACGATTTAAAAAAAAATTATATTTAACGACATTAGATTTCTAAATCAACAGATCCCAAAAGTTTTTACATCCAGACAAGTTTCAGCCAATCAACGATAACGATGCTTGGGTTTATTCCGCCTACTATGACATATTGAGTTCCAATCTAACGGTGATTACAGTCATAGGAATGGCCTCACGCAAAAATCATACGGTCTACTGTCATATGAGCAAGGATGGGCACACGACAAAAGAAATAGGACGACATATGTTTTTAGTAGGAGATCATAGAAAAAAGTAATAAAATTCATTGTCCAGTTTTTAAAAAAAAACCACACACATGATGCAGTATTAACACTAATTACTCATTCCGTAATATTCATAAGTAGTCATTACTTTATAAAACTACTAATCTACTCAAAAATATTTTAAGACCGTTAATGGAAATACAAGATTCTTTATCGTTACAGTTACACAGCGACGATGTTTGAGTGTGTTGTAGAACAAAACTTCAAGCCAACCTCCATCTCTATCACATACAAGCCTGACGTCACACCGACCAATCTTTTAGAGATTCAGTACCCCAAACAAAGGGAGAGAAACTTTACAGTGTGTTACCCCGCTTTGTTTGGTTACAATAACATCACTAGAATTATTCAGGCCATCGAGATCAACAGAGTCCTTGGCGCCCAGCATTTCTTCATCTACAACTACAGCATCTCTCGGGAAATGGATGCAGTGCTGCGTCACTATCAGGATGAAGGCGTTCTCACAGTCCTGCAATGGGCGCTACCGTTAGATGACGTCATGGACGTTTGGTACTACGCTCAGATGAGCGCCATCAACGACTGTGTGTACCGCAACAAGTTTGTATCCCAGTACGTGGTCATACAAGATCCTGACGAGTTCATCATACCAAACCATCACATGA